GTTTTGCTCACAATACCAGTGAGAACATTTGCAGGGGCTCAGAATACAGGAGAGTCTAAAACTTACATGTATACTGACATAGAGAAGTATCTTCAAAGTTAAAATAATTCAGTAATTTATGATGTTTGGATCTAAATGCAAGTTTACTGTGAAAAGCTTTGTATACCTGAAATTAATGATGCATTATTTGAAATACATGATAAAATACTAACATCGAAGTTGGGTGTTGCTCTAGGATGACCCTGCTTGAGCAGAGAGTTTGGACCACATAATCCACCGTGACCCCTTCCAATCTTACTCATTCTGTGATTCGTGGAAAGCCAAGGCCTTCTCACAACATTAAGTACAGCTCTCCTTTTATCCCCCTAATTAGTGTGTTTACAGTTACAAAAGCTCAATACAACAGTTTCTGCTGCCACTATTCTGGCAGATCTCCACTCAGAGTTAACTTCTACATTTCTCTACCCCTCAAACATTTAACACTTCCCCCAGCTGGTGGTTCCCTTATTCTCTCCTAATTTCTACTCCTTCTTGCTCTATCTGATGCTTACTCTTTTCTTCAGAGGCTCCTTCAACTCCTCCTTCTCCCTAATGGTCTCATGCATTCCTCTCTACACACAGCAAGCAGGATCTCTGTATAAAGGCAACCCTTCTCTGTAAAGACTTAAACTTCGTGTTATTGCTTTACTTCTGAATGCTCAGGGAAGATAAAAAGCAAACAAAGGTCAAAGGAAAGATTACAGGAATCTGCACTCAAGGATATGAGCTATCTGTCCAATCAGACCCTCTTGTGAATTGATAATGTGGTCTACTTGATGCATAAATATAACCATTTCTTTTACTTAAATTGATTAAAATAACTTTCATACACAAACTTTCCAAAACTACATACTGGGATTTATACATGCCTTCAAATGAACAGATTATCCAGCACCAGAAATGACAAAAGCATATTAAAACTTTAGAAAAGCCAAGAAGGAAATCACACCACACCATGTTTACACACAGAGGATATACACTGATAGGCATTCTTGCAATACCCTATTTCTGCTGTTCAAATTAAACCCCTCCAAAATAAACCAAACGATAAGTTTCTGAAAAAAGTACCATAAGAGACAGAGATTAACTACTAACAACAGTGCATGCTCAAAGGAAAAAAGTCATGCCCCATCCCAATGAGCAACTGTAGCTATGATATTTTCTGAAAAATCTTTTCTTTAAGATTTTTTCTCCTGAGAAGCTGAGAGGCCTCAGGAACAAAATGTAAACAATGATTTTTGGTGGATCTTTGATTGGTCTCATGTAGTTGTTTCTAATTAATGGCTAATCACTGTCCAGCTATCCAGACTGTCTCGATCAGTCACAAGCCTTTGTTATCATTCTTTTTCTATTCTTACCTAGCCTTCTGATGAAATCCTTTCTTCTATTCTTTTAGTATAGTTTTAATACAATATATATCATAAAATAATAAATCAAGCCTTCTGAAACATGGAGTCAATATTCTTGTCTCTTGCCTCATCCTAAGACCCCTGCGAACACCATCACAAGCAACAGTGCCTCTCTGCTTGACTGGAATCCTGAACTTTTCACTATTCACAAATTTCCCAGTAATCACTGTACAAAACAAGAAATGTCTCTTCTCTTCCTGAGAGAAATCTGAGTTGGATCCTCAACTTTAATCACCCCTGAATTATACTGCAAGACTCAGAGATAAAATGTTACCTAATTAGACCCTTTGCCATTCTGGAGTCTCAGCTGAGATTTTGAATTCAGATCAGCTCTCAGTGGAGAAGTCCGTTCCTGTCAGAATAATTTAGACTGTAAAGAACCTCAAGAGATCATTTAATATAATCCACAACTCAAAGAAACGCTATCCTAGTCTTTCATCTGCTCCCATTAGCAACAATGGAGATATTACACAGGAAAAAAGATTAAGAGTACATTCCCACGATCACATTGACCCTATCTTGACTCAATCTTGAGTTAGTCATACTCTTAGCATCTACCAATGAACAGACTGCAGAATGTCTTCACTGTGTACAAGTTGTCATCAGCCCAAATGGTAATAAAATATTCACGCATCAGGCATTTTCAGAGCACAGCGTAGTTGCAAATACCCCTATTTGCTTAATTCTCTATTTTTAACAAAGACACTGCTATTACAGGCACTATATGATGCAGCCTTGGTTGTTTAAGCTATTACTTACTCAAATTTTGCTTAAGTCTGCTTTCTTTGCAAGTATTAGATTATTTTTAAAATTTAATTATTTTCATTTCCTTCATGATCTGGTCAGGAATATTCAACTGGGAAGGGCAGCTAAACCATGAATTCAAGGCCAGGTAGTATCCAGTCCAAGAAAACAAGTCAATAAAAACTTGTCTGGGGACTTGTTCCCTGTAGATGGAACACAGAGCTAAAAATGAATGGGGTAACTTGTGAATACCCCAAAGCCACAGCAAAGAAACTGAATGTTTTCTGACAGAGCCAATAGACAAGGAGCAGCAGAGTAAGTCCTTGACCTTCACACTGCCAACATGCCTCAATCCAGCCTAGATGAGTCACCTCCTGAAGGGTCACTGTGCTACTTCAGTCCTGGATTCTCTGCTGGGACTGCCATGAATGACATTGTATAGTGGCATTTGCTCCAAGAAGACATTTGTCTTCTAGGAACTGGATAAAAACCACTGATTTTACACAGGTCAGCAAGCAACCATCAAAATAGTAGTGACTAAAATTCCTTACCAACTTTTGTCTGCTTTGAACTGGTGACACAGAAGTGATTGGGAAGACTCCATCCTCCATTAGCAGTCCCCAAGCTATGCATTAGATGGTCCTTGACCTGTTACCCAGCCACCCTACATCCCCTTCCCACCCTATGTGAGTGAACAAGCATCCTTGTTTACAGAAACTGCAATCCTTGGGATTTTAAATCTGAAATTCTCCCAGTGCACATCATCACTACAACTGACACTGACTTCAGCTGGTATTGCTTATCTAAAATGCTCTAGAAGAGTTCATTACTCACAGGGAAAAACACAGTGTCTCTAAAACACTAAGGAAACATAAATGCTGCTTCCCAGGATTTCAGAGGGACAAGGAGGCTGTGCTGAGAAATAGGGATCTGGAGCATACTGTTCAGGAAGACTGGTAATCTCTATGTACAAGCTCACTATTCAAACATAAAACCAAGTAACTTCAACGCTAGGTTTAAAAAAACCTATTCTGTATCTTTCAATACTAACAAAAACTCAAGTTGGAAAAGATTTAATGCTAAGCACTTTACAAAACATCAAGGTAGTTTAATATTTTGTTACATAGAAACCCAACTTTGTAAATATACACCATCATTTTAGGGTAAAAATAAAAAACTACCTTACCAAGAATCATTCACACTAGGTAAGAAAAGACATACTTTAATATCCACAAATGTTCCATTTTAAATAAACACTGAGAAGAAACGACCAGCTGTGTAAAACTACACAAAAATCTTGGTGGTTTTCAAATGGAAACCACTGGCCACTGCAACTAAAAACGTGTTCTGAACATTCACCTACTTTTGAAACCTGTAGTACATTACGTTTTGTGGTTGGCAGTACTTTAGAAAAAAAATCCCCCTGTAGTTCACTAATTACCTCCTTAAATGTTTTTAATAGGCTAAAAGCTTTCTCAGATAGAAATACTACAGAGACATTAGATATGATGAATACATGCATACTAATAAAAAGACTGTAAAAACCTCAAGAAAAGAAATTGGTACTTTTCAGCTGTAAGGTCTTAAGTACTTCACAAATATTTATAATCTGTGGAAAAGTTATTAGGTACATCTGTGTAAAACATCTAAACACAAACAGCCAGTTTCCATCCCATATTATAGCACACAATAAAAGACAATGCTTCGCACACATTTGCATATTCTCATCAAATAAAGTACTTTTAGCATCACTTGCTATCAATGCAACAGTGTGAATCCAGAGCCTGTCTCCATTAATAACAACACCAACAAATCCCTCCTCACATCAATCTAACTATAGCAGTATAAATTTCTCTCTCATATAAATTTACTCAGCTGTTTTACAGCAGGGGTTTACATCAGCACATTGTGCTGCATGAGTCTAATGGCTCAAGTTGCACCAATATAAATCTATGTTAGAGTTAGCAGTTCATTTACAATGGTTAATCCTACCATGGATCTAACTACACTGTGGTAGAGGGATGTTCATTTTCCCCTAGACAGATAAATCTTCTGAGTTTGACAGGACAACTGTACCATTCAGCAGCCCAGCATTAAAGCCAAACCAAGTTTTAGAGAAACTTCACAGAATTTTTTACTTCTCTTATCCTGAGTTGTCCTTCCTATTTTCCATAAGACATAGAGGAAGACCCAAAGATTTCTCCCATACAAAACATGGCTTCCCTCACCAAAACTTAAAAAGGTAAAAGTGGTCAGGGCTAATTTACCCCTGCTGCCTGGAAAGCCTGGAAGAATGGCTGCATCTGCTATGCAATCAGTGTGCAAGAGCTGAAACAGCTGGTGATCAACAGCCTACATCTGTATCTGCCCAAATCTAAACAACAACCTTGAAAATTAGAGAAATACACAGATATACACAATCAACCACTGCATTGTGATAATACTTAATTGCAATCAATGTATTAAACACCTAAAAAATGGCAATTACTTTAAATTTCTTACAGTACAATTGCCTTCCCCCCCCCACAACATAATAAATCAATTACATGCTACCATTCAGCGAGAACGATGAGTTTTAAGAAAGTTATTTAAATATTTATCCTACAATATTCAAGAGAAAAATGGAGGAAAAAAAGTCTCTTTAGAGTTGATGTATCTTCTCAGCTTAATTAACACAAGCTTTTCCTTTTTTAATTTGCACTTAAGAAGTGGGAACTTTATTCAATTTGCTAATTACTACATTTTCAAGCTGTTTTCTTGAAAGAGATGACAGCCTATCACACTAGGAATCAAAATTTCTCTAGTTACCTCGAATTACGTAGTTGTCCAAAGCCTCTTCCATTCTTTTCAGTGCTTCAGCTCTATTAGAGCCATAGGTAATCAGCTGAAGAAAAAAATAAGGTATTTACATTACCTAGATATTAGGTGTTTGTTTCTAGAATTTGAATAGCATTTAAAAATCAAATAGGTTTGTAGAATTTCTGCAGTCATAAGAAACCATTGCTTGACCATTACTGTATTTATGCTATAAAGGCTCCCTGAAACATCAAGAAAAAGCTAGGATCTCTTAACCCACTCAATGAAAGAAAGCCAATCACTTTTTACTTCATAAAACTTAAAACATCTAAACAAGCTCTCAGAAAATCAGACGAGAGGTTCACTATCCAAGCTGACCAGATTCCTAATGACAACAAATTCTTAAGACATCCTTTTTTTGAGGACTGAACTGTATCATGTCATATTTTAATTTTACCAATATATTCCCAATGAATAAGAACTAATACTAATAGACACTATCAAGCATTTCTTTCAATGCTTCTTTTTGAAAGCCAGGATTACTGACATTTACATCCAAGCTAGACTATATTAAAAATGATAGATTGGCTGTATCTAAGTCAGACAATAAAGGCTGGTGTTTAAATCAGAATCTTCTTAATTAGAAACTGCAAGACAAATAACTACAGTGTCAAAAGGTAAAAATAATTTTATTTCGAAGAGACACTAGATTTCCTCTACTCCACATCTTCCTTCACTTCTTTTGTATTCCCTTGAGGTATGTTATGCCTGGCACCTTTAAAACACTGATTTACCAATCCTTTAATATGTTCCCTCACATAAAAGATCTATGTAGAAAATCAGTACTTCATACCTTTAGAATATTAAGAAATAATGATCAACTCACTTTTGAGATCATGGGATCATAATAAATGCTAATGTCACTTCCTTGTTGTATACCACTGTCAACACGTACCTTCAAAAATAAGAAGTGAAAATAATTATATATTACTGGAAAAAAAATTTCAACATGAGGATCAATCTACCCATCAGGCTTAAACCATAACCCCCACAAAGCTTATCGTATACATTTTTCCCTCTGGAAAGACTCAATTATTTGTTTTCAGAGAACCTGGGAGGAGGGAAGGGAAGCTTTTTTCTTCACTGGCAGAAAAAAAAAAAAGCACTTGCAAATTAGTCTCTCTTTTATGAGAAACTTGACTGCAATCTTGAGTTCATAGTCAAAATTCTCTTTTGGTCTGCAGAAGGCACAGTAAACACAGTCAATCTGATCTAACAATTTCAGCTGTGTTACACTTGCTTCAACTCCAAAGACATTCAATTCTGTTTTAATCCCTGCAATAAAATACAGTTGTAATTATTTTTCTGACTGACACCTGGCATGAGGGATGACCCTTGTAATCACAGCCTTTCTGCATCTATATGTAATCACATCCTTCATATTCTGCTACAGCCCTTCCAAGGGCTTCAGTAGGAATAGAAGTAGGGAGCATTCAGCAGGAACTTTGGAGCTCTGCTTATCAGCTCCATAGGAATACTGAGCCTATGGTTTTCATGTCTGTAACACTTTCCTTCTCTGTCTCACCCTCTCAACTGTTAAACAATTTTTTTTCTGTTGCTGCTCTTCCCCCGAGGCTTTAATGTTTACACAGCTTTTTTCCATGGCTTTGCTTTGTAAGGACACAGCCCCAATTAAAGCTCTGATTCTGCAATATTCATGGAAAAAAATAACACAAGTTCAAAAATTTCTTTTGAAGAGGCTGATTGCTGTTAACCAGCCAACAAGTTAGTTTGTATATTGCTGATTCTTGTTTTCATCTCTCAGTTTGATTTCATCACTGTAACAATGAGGTTAGCCATATAAAACTTTTCAAATGAGCAATTTCTGGGGAATAAATATTTATTAAATTGCTGGTTTTGAGCACTGGAATTCGAAATATTTTTTTTAAACTAATCAAAATAACTCAAGTGATAAATGCATTCTGGGGATCATAAGGATGGAGGGCTCTAATCAAAGCTGTTGAAACAGCAGGGCTCTGATATACTGCATTGTAAAGGGGTGGGAAAGAGGGTCCTGGAATCTCACTTAAATCTTCACCTGTGGGAAGGAACCTTTGTAATAAACAGCAGCTCATCTGTCTGCAGCAAGGCAGAAAAAGGTCAACACAACGGCTGTTAGGCCTTTAATATTTTAATTTAGGCAATTATCAAGGGACCACATGTAGAACCTCTTGTCTAGAGAATCCACATGAGGGCATGATGATGACTTTATTATCCAAATGACATAAAAAGATACCCTAGCAGGTGTATTCACTTTCTTCAGTAAAAAACATTGTCTGACTAGTTCTTAGGACATTATATTTATTTTAATAAGAAGTTCACTTATTCACATGTTTGTATTCATATATTTGTATTTATGTATTTATTTTTTTTCTATACTTATTCACATGTAAAGGCAGCATTGCTTCTTCTGTACCACTTTAATAGATTCTTATCTGAATGTGCTTTATCTGTGCTTAACTGGGCTCCCCACTACTCACATCAGGTACATTTAACATTAGCTACTGATGTGAAGGTAGTTCAGACATGTCATGATTACAGAAAAAACATGCAGTGTATTTCTCAGCTTCCTTTCTTCCAGCTGCTAAACTATCCTTTCTCACAGAATGGCTGTCCATGTATAAAGTCAATGCACATGTTCTCACATTTAAGTCAGAAAGAATTAATTTACCTACTCAGTTCCAGAGAAATCCCCTGCCCTTGACATTTTCTTCTAATACTCAATAAATACATACATAAGACAAGGTATGACATACATACTCCACACATACTTGAATTGTACTGTGACTTTTGTGTCTGAAGCAGCACCTATACAGTGACTGCACACAAGCATTCAGGAGTGCTTTACATATGCATAGGTAAGTACTGACACATGTATGTCATCTTTTGACAAAGAAAAAACATATGAAAGGTGCATCATTCAGGCCCACGATAAGCAGGTTAGTCAGACCCTAAAGTTAACTAAGACTTCTGAGGCTACTCCAACTATATGCTCTGCCTGGCTCTATGTTTCTATTCATATACAATACATGTACATGGCCACTACAAAATTCACATTTTTCTCTAACCACAGTATCTTGAAAAGGCTACAGTGAATATAAACTACTTAAACTACTGCATAACTTACTTTAAAAAAATCTGGAGTCCTCTATGGAAGTTAATTTTCATAAAATAAACTCAAGATTACCAAAAAAATGACAGCAAAAAAGAAATACATTTACTATCTTAAATTCTCCCTGTGGTGCTTACATTTTCAGAGCCTGGTAACAGTAGGTGATTTTATAAACTATATGGTGTGACAGAATTTAATGAATATTGGATGAACAAGAAACCCTAATTCAACAGCTACTCACTATAATGTGCTGAACTTGATAAATAATAGCAATATTTATTAGACCTCCAGCATTTACTTCTGTTTAATATAGTTCCTTTCTTGTACTCAGTATTTAAGATATTTAGGCAAAGCTAGGGTTAAAGGTCCTGCTGTAGCCTAGAGCTCATTCATATTACAGCCCTAACACTTTATTGATGTTGTATTATCCTCATGTGTTATTACATTAGGACAACAGCAAAATGAATAAAAAATGCTTAAGTGGAGGGGCCTGGGGGGAAGTATCTCAGTCCTGCAATGAACTCTTAATGCATCAAATTCCACTTAGGAACACAAAGAGATTCTTGTATTTCTCAATTCTTTGCTATATCTGAGTCTGAGAATTTTCTTTTCCTGGTAAGAGTCACTAAAATACCAGACTACTGCTCACATTGACAGAGAGCAAAGCTGGAGCACTCCAGATATAGCAGAACATGTTGCGTAGGAGCACCAAACATCAAAGCCCACTATCACACGTAAGGGGCTGGTTTATAGTCACCTGTGTTCAGCCTCATTATCAAAGACAAAAAAAAAAGGTATTTATGAGCACCACGTTCTAAGGAAATTAGAAACTATGTGACACAAAAATAGCCATATTCTTCCCTATGGCTAAGCAAAACACGGCTCTCACCGAGCCATGCTCAACAGTTCCATCAGCATGGGCAGCTGACACACAGGGATGGTAAATCAGAGCTAACTTGAGACACAGAAGAAATGAATTGCCAATACACTTGGCAATACACATAAGCTGACCTTGCTGTGACATGCTACAAGTCTCTGCTAATTTTTCTCAAGCCAAATTGTTGACAACTCTAAAACCTAAAAACAAACACCATGGCACAATGGGCCTATAACGCTGTACCTTTTTAGCCACATTAATTTTGTTCTTAGCAGCATGACATTCTCAGAAGAGAAATTAGTTTCATGCTAGCAGAAATATATGTATTAAGACACCAAATCATGAGTACCTACATAAAAATAGTTCTTCTATTTTTTAATATGACAGTGGAAGTAAACAGGAAGAGAAAGCCTAGAGACTCCATATGAGCTCCTCAACCCAATGCTCTGAAGCCTCCAGTGTAATTAAAATCTCTTTCTTTGGTACCACGATGGACTACGTGAAGCAATCAGGCGTCTCCCACCCTTCATTTTCAATTCACCTCTCCCCCTAAGCACAACTCCCAGCCCACCCCATCTACCTGACAAGTGACAGCCCAATCTGATTAAATGCTTGCAAGGGAGGGGACTCATGGGCCTCCATGACAGGCCAAAAGTGATCACCATGGAGATACATAATTACAGCTGTCAACGCGTCTACTGTCCTGCTGGCATCAATTTGATTGCTCCCAGCAATAATGATAGACAAAGCTTAGTGTGCACTCTCCTACACCCAATCACTTTATCTATTCCGTGGTCCATTTAGCTGACATGCAACATTCACACAAGCAAATAACAGCAGTAAGCAGAACATTTAAGGCATTTTAATTGTTTTTTCTTTGTATGGATGGCTCACAAGCGCAAATGTTATTACATAAAACTCCTGCTGCAGCATTAATTGAAGAAAGATTTGGTGGGACAAAGACTGTAGGGGGTATAGTTTGTCCATTATCACTTGTACTTTCAACAGGTCTCACGTTTGGAAAATTGCAAATTGCAAAAACTTGCAAGGGCAAAATGTTTGACATCGTGTTAGCTATTACAACATGGTGAAAACTTCTAACAACCACTGGAGTACTCATTATAAATTCTTATTAAATACACTCTTTGTTTCATTAAAAAGAAGTTTAGATACATCCAGCGATACCTTTTTCCCCTCATCTCCTCTTTAAGAGCACATAATGCCTTTTAGATCTTCACAGATTTTTTCTGCTTTCAGGCTTTGAACACAGCATGAAGCCTTAAAGACCAGAAAGGGTCAGGTCCCTTTGGAAAGTACACGGGCAAAAACAATTTAAAAAGCGAAATAAATCATATATCCAATAACAACTCCACATTTAAGATTCCTCCTGTAATCTCTCAGTATTTTCCGTGCAAGCAATCAGACTGAATAATTGTATTCACAGATGGTACAGTCTCATCATTGCACTGACACAGTGTCACTCATGTATATGTGCACTTATAATTTAAGACTACCTTGATTTTACAGAAAGGCAGTGTATTTGCTCTTTACACCATGCAGAAAACACTGTTTGCTAAACACCTATTCTATATGGTTAGGCTGTATCCTGAAACACGTAATAACCACTGTTAGAAACTCCTCAAAGTCTACAAAGCTAAACAAAAAGCACTGGCCGTTTCTCACCAGTGTCCCCAGTTTTCTGTGTTTCAAGAGCTGACTCAACAGTTTAGTGTCATTTTTGATGACCACAAGTACATTTACTAAAGCTGTGTTTGAAAAACTTAAGCTGAAAGTTATAGAACAAACCATTTCAACATGTATTGGTTTCCTGTTATACCCAATCTGAACATTTTTAATCCAGTTTGGAACTGTTCACTTTTAAGCAGTTTTTCAGGTTGCACAAATCAGTATTGCCATGTCCTGTCCCCACTCTGGCAAAAAGCTGGAAAAAAGGCCTGGTTTACAAAGCTGCTGAGTATTTATAGTCTTTATATAAGAGAAATTCAGCACCTATGAAAAACCAGAACCGAGTTACTTACACTTGGCACATGCAATGGTTCCTGATACTGAGACAGTTTACCAATGGATGGCAGGCCAAAAGATTTGTAGGGGTCCTGGAAAAAAATTCAACATGAGAAAGGATTAAGCTTTTGCAGATGTGGAGCAGATAATGTTTAAAAGCTTTAAGTATAACAGAAACTGCTACTGGAATGACTCTGCTTTTTTGCCCAGAATTACTTGTGTCAAAGAACATTTCTTCATCCATCTGCCCCCACAAATCCAAATAAAGAAATGGAAGTATATAAATTCTCTTGCATCAGTTAAAAAAAAAAGGAAATAAGTATTCTGCACCAGTTACAATATTCCAAAATAAAATATACAAAGATGACATTTTCATTAGCTACACTTGGAAGAAGGATGGGAAAGTATTCAGGAGTATAAGAAAAATTTTTCGGAGATAAAAAGGGCAGTTAGAATTTCAATTATCTTAAGAAGTCAAACCAATCTTTATGCCACTGGAAACCTCCTACATTAATGTACATGATGCAACACTAATACAAACTTGATAGGAAAACAAATAAATATATGGCCTACAGAATAACCTAATTCATGGCAAAGTAGTTGGATTCACTACTCATAAACGTGGGGGGATTTAAGATGAACAAATTAAAAACCTAAACATCAGTTAGTCCACTGTAAAGCCTACTAAAACTCAGAATATTTTCCATGCCAGTCACAGGGCAAATATTTATTCTTTATCAAAATAGTCTGGACAACTTTGAATCAGTAGAGGAATTTGGAGGTTAGATGCATGTCATGAGATAAAAAGAAAAAAAAACATAAGATGGTCTAGGTAACAAAATTTCCAACAGTTAAGGGGAAAAATGTCTCAAGGTGCTGAATTAGTTTTGAAATGCAGAGTTACCTAAAATGTTCCTGAAACTAAATGAAGGAAGATAGGCATTATTTTCCAGTCCCCACCCCTGGAAGTGTTCAAGGCCAGGCTTCAATGGGGCTCTGAGCAACCTGATCTAGTGGAAGGTGTCCCTGCCCATGGCAGGGAAGTTGCGATTAGGTGATCTTCAAGGTCCTCTCCAACACAAATCACTCTGTGATTCAATGACTTTTTTTTTTTTTACTAAACAAATTTTCATTTTCATGTATCAAAAGTGACACCAAAAAGACATTACATCAAAATGTCTTGAAAATGGGATTTAAATATTCATAAGCTTCTTTAAGGTAAGATGGAGACTCACACCATAATTATAGTTATTGTTTTGGAATGTGCTTTGAAAGTTTATCCTATACACTGTGGTTTCAGAAAATGTGTAACTTGGTTTTTCAACGACCTTTTCAAAAGTTTTATTAAAACAACAAAAATTCTGTAAGACATTGAATTTCAACTGTCTTTTAAAGTCAACAAGTTTCAACTACACATTTCAGAAACTTCGAAAGAGTGGTTAACTCTGGTAAATAATTCCAGTATCATTAAACGTGTACTGAACATGCAGGCTTATTTCTAATGGTATTTGCTTACCTCTCTCTTTTATCATCTTTACTTTCAACTTTCAGGAAAAAGCTATGTTGAAACACACACCGTATTTTTAATTAAAAAACAAGAACTCGACAATTCTACGAAACCTCATTAACCATTCGTGTTACATGAATCGAAATCATGACTTTCATATGATATTCCTTGATTTCACCTTGGCATCTATCCACACCTGGGTATTACTACGCCACAATTCAACCACCTACCCCCTCCTCCCCATTACCACTCATTTACCTCAGCATAAACTCGACATTCAACCGCCCAGCCGTTGATGGGAATATCAGCCTGTTTGTGCCTGAGAGGGTAACCCTTGGCAACACGGATCATTTCTTGGACTAAGTCCAGGCCGGTAATGCATTCTGTGACGGGATGTTCAACCTGCAAGGTCAAGAACTGTCAGTCAGTAGGTAACAAAAAGCAACCAATAAAAAAAAGCACCTCTCTGTAAACAAATACAGATAAATAAGAAATTTCACCTGCGAAAGAACAGAGAAAGGCTATGTTTCTATTTTGGTCTTTTTCCACAAAAAAAAAAACCTACTTAAACTCCAGCAACTGCTGTCTTTGCATGGAGAACACAAAAAAATAATTAGCAGATTACAATAACTCAGAGCAGCATACAAAAGGAAAACTAGAGAGGTGACCTGGGAGGATTTGGAGATTTGTAGGAGTTTTTTGTTTGGTCAGGGTTTTTTTTCACGTATTTTACAAATTCAAATGCATCCAGTGACAATGAGGTAATTTTTCTTTGTTTGGAAGCTTTTCCCATTCAATTCTATTTTGAAGAGACACACACCATGGCCATAACTATATTTTAACTGAAAATCTCCAAGTAGCTGATAATCAACCCATTCTGCTACACTTAACATGGCATGTACAGGAGCCACTACCAATTTTCCACAGAACCGGCGTAGCCTATATCTCACCCATTCGCCTTCTTTCACTAACCTGTCCTGACAAGCAACCAGATTAGCGTAATCTTGCATCAGCGCAGTGTAGCAGAAATGAGCAGATGGATCCTTCAATTTCCCCCCCCCCCCCCCCCAGACTTATCTGTTTAGTGCTTAGCATGCACAATAGCTGGGCTGGACCAGCAGAGTGGCTCTGCGCGCTCAGCAAATTGCCGCTAACAGCTTTGGAAGAGGCTGCCCTGGGAATTGCCGTCGCTCGCGCTCACGCGGGATGTGCGTACAAGCATGCACACGTGGGCGTGCACGGGCACGTGCACACACACTTCTGCCTTCAAATGGGCAGAGAAACGAGCACCTTGATTAACTTTAAAAAGCCTTTAACTAGGCATAAGACAGTACAAAGCAACCAAGGTGATTCCTCTGATCGCCACCACATCGATCGAGTAAAAGGTAGGCATGCTAAAAGAATGTTCTTCTCACAGAAACAGCTATACCACCAGAAACCATGACAGAACTGCCATTTTTGTTATAAAATGTTTGTGCTTCAAGCGGAAAAATACCTCAAGAAAACACACTTTGCAACTGCTTCTGGTGAGATGTCATACTATGTACCTTTTCTGACACAGGAAAAGGTCACTGACCAAACCACTTGTCTTTCATCCTTCAAGTATACAGTATTAAGGAAAACATTCAGTCATTATAACAACATTGTGGCTTACCGGAACAAGTAGAAGCTTTGGTCTTTAAGAAAAAACGCTTTGTAAAAATAAACAGATGGCATCCATAATTAGCCCTGTGTGTGCTGTGAGTTTGTTTAGAGTTTCAACAACATTTTAAGACGTTTTGACATAATTTTAATGACAAATCATCACTGAAACAAGCACCTATTCTTTGAAGGACAAAAGTGACATTGAAATGGGAATCTGATTATACAGTTTAAGGATGTACCTTTGGGACTCAATCTTGATTCTACCTAACACATGATACTTTCCAGCATGTCAAGCTTAATAACAGTATTTTGAGACTCTATGAAACATCTCAGTGTCTATCCTGCAGTGTTAAATTGAAGCAATTCAATTTCTATTAAGACTTGAAGTTTTAATAGAAACTCCTTAAGTTTTAATAGAAAGTTACTTATCACACATTCATATTTGGACAACAGAACTTATTTTCCTACTTTGGAATTTAAGTTTTAAAAGATTACCTTTGAGCTGGGAATATGTTTGGAATTCTAACATTCCAGATAATTAAAATACTTTTTCTGTTTCCAAAGACATTTGCATTATTTAGTTATACTGCCATTTTTCTTGGATAGCAATTGGCATTCCAGATTCAATAGCTTCATTGTTGTTTTCAGTTTTATTGTTGATGATCAAAATAAGATGGAATGTCTCTGAAAAGAAAAATATTTTTGTTGTTTGCTTCTTAAGACTCACAAACATTTATTTAATCCATTCTTCAATACAGATCTTTGACTTGGTCAATATTTTCTTCTGTTTCTTCAAAATACTCCCTTTGTCTCCACACAAAGCAGCATTCAGAAAATATGTATAGGAAAAAATGTTGAGGGGTTTTTTTGGGGTGGGGAGAAGTCCTACTTTATTTTAGGACTCTGCTTCAACTACTACTATTTAGGCATAACATAGACAATTCCAATCATAGCATTAATTTGGGGTACCAAATACATTTGAATGTATTTTCATATTTGTTAAGACTATCAGATGAAATATGGTAGAAAAGAACTTTAATCTTGAAATCTCTACAACTATAACTAATAATTGTCTAAAGTAATTGTATCTGTTGTAAAAATCACTCTTATAAGTTAGACTTCAATCACTTCCCTCTTTTCCACTTTCTACTTCAGGTGCTGTCTTTATTCTGCCTGCCTGTTGTATTTCCTTCTATTCTATTTATGCTATCTCCCCTCTCCATCAACAGCCTTTACTTGCCAGCATATGGAGACTAAGTCAAGTACTACATTTTTGACAAGATGAATGCAAGTTTGCTCACAAATGGAGCTGAATCTCACTCAACTGATCAACTCCTTTAGCTTTAGGCCATAGTCAGTTTTGCAGTTGACTGATCCAAGATGTTGCCAGTGAACCCCAGCCATTAAAGAGCCAGTGTTGGTATGGTTATGCAACAGTAGCTACATTCACACATTACTGCTGACTTAAACACAAAGGGCAAAACCAGACATGTCTGCAGCAAGCATTCTACAGATCATAGCTGTATCTTATTCTCAACAGGACAGGCAGAAAAAATTCATCAGCAAAAACTCTCAATTAATTAACTGCCAAAAGTAACACCTTTACTATCAGTTCCTTTACTTATACCAAGTCTGCTCATAAACAGTTGATAACAAGTCATCATTTCAATGCACTTAAGAACAATATACACCTCCTTTAAAAAGTCTTAAGTCTCTGTAAGATGCCACTTATATTCCTGCTTTCAAGTCCACAAAGCTATACCTGCTATGACCAGCAATAGCTATACAGAGTAAAGGGAAAGTGCTTCCCCTTCATACTGGATCTACTGCTCTTAAGACATATAACAGCAACCAGATTTCCCATGAGCATTGCAAGTGTTCTTGCTTCACTAACCCCTTCCCATTTATACAGCAAGAGAAACTAGTGGCAAAGCCTGTCAGAAAATAATAATTAGGTCCCAGTTTATAGATAGTAAAGCAGGTATATAAGAGTTGGGGAACCTACCAACATCACAGGCCAGTTAGCATCCATCACCACAACAGTATGGAAAGGCTCCTAATTTTCCTCCTGTTCTGTGACTGCCAGTGGTTTTAAAGCTTTACCATAGTGGGGTTCATCCACAGCTACAAAAACAGTCATGCAGTTTTTACTGACAGTAGGAGCTGAGAATTAAATTAGTGATGACTGTTCCCCTTATATTCAGGGGAATAATTCTGGGACACATTTTTCCTCAAGACTATCAATGTACCCAGATCTAACAGCAAACACTTCTGGACACTCACAGACTGCTCTTGTCCCTGTGTGTATAAGGCATCAAGTTACTCACACACCAGCTGGAACATTCAAGCACACCACATCAGCCAAGAAAATCTAAATTTCAGTAGACGTAAAACTACAGCCTATGTCACCCCTACTACTGTAAGTCCCTAGCTGGTGTCATATACCCCTTTACATTCAGATAAATAATCTCAAAACTAACTTTCAACATACACCTCAGTTTCCAGGAAATGTGATTCACCTGGAGTCCCACAGGCTTTGCTGCTGCAGCCAAATCCAGTATCAATTGACCCAAACTCACCAACTTACAGATGCTTCTTAACTCCCTGTATTTCAGTAAGCCTGGTTTCTATTTCGGAGAATTGAACAGCAACAGAAGTGCACACATGTTCTGTTCTTCAGGCATGCAAGCTTCCTGACTACTATGAGCAGGAGCACACTGGGGTCACATCTTTCTGCAAAATAGTTCACATGTACATGGGGTTTGGGAGCACACAGCAAAAAAACAGCTTTTCATAAAGGCTACTGAAAAAGAGACAATGGTTGGACTAATATACAGAATGAATGGAAAGCAGGACTACATAACTGGGTAACTACAGGCATCTTATATAACAACACTTGCTGTTTGTTTTCTGACCTATTAGTATACAACTGAAAACTGAAGGCAATCAGTACTACAATAATTTCCATCAGCTAAGATGTTCAGGTAGACTTCTTTTATTGTTTCCCAAGTAGGATGTAGAATAAAAACTAATGCACAGACATCCAGTACAAACTAGTTTTTTAATGGTAGCATATAACTTTGAAAAGGTATTTAATTTATAATAACTTCCTCATATGAAGTTATATTCCAATAATCATTAACACAGTTCTCAATTTTCTTTTGCAAGGATTTGTTTCTACATTGTATGGGACAGACACATCTTATGTGGCCTATGAATTCTGAATCTTTTCTGTGTTTTAGACAAACAGCACACACTTCACGTCAATAAGTCAATTAGCTCATAATTTCAACATAACTTTCTCAATTAACATCCTGCACTTCAAATAAAATTTCTCGAAGTCTAGTAATTCTACACAATTTCCTTCCCACTACATGCGGCACGTAAGAAAATAAAGAAACTAGTATCCACAAACACAATACTTTCTTTCCTAAAGATCTAATTCCTGTTTTTACTGTATTTAGCTGTGGTATTAAAGCTTTCTCAGAACACTTCATTCAGGATGGCTCTGGTCACACCGCAGCTATTCTTTGGTTTACTTTACATCAAATTCACCAAGCAAAGAAACTAACGTACCCTTTGAAGAATGACCTTTTGTTTCTCTACTTATTAAGTAGTCTCCTCTTTCTCTACGTTTTTTAATAGTATTTTATGAGAGTTACATGGGAATGTTGTCTCTAAGATATCACTCCATGCCTTGGCAGCACTGTTAATGGCATCTTTCAGATTCAATGACTTACACAAACAACGTTGTTCTCTTCTGTCAACAACAATTAGCAATGCTTTTCTGTAGTTCTTTTGGGAAGGCTGAAAAGCAGACACAACCAGTAGATACATAATGGAAGTTGCATTAGGAGGCAAGAATGTGGCAAAAATTTGGTTAACTGTTGTCGGCTGACCCTCTTGTGTGAAGAAGTGTTGTTTGGCAGTAAAATCACCTTTTCTTTCAGTTCTAAAAATGGCCATGAACAGCTGGTATAAACTGTGTGCAGAATGGATTCTGGTGGGCTTAGCAGATTGGTAATGGGATAAGAGACCTTTCACCTTTAGGTCAGTAGTTCAAATTCAGCCCAGGTTAGCAGCAATTGAAAGTCCTTACCATCTGACACTGTTTGTTAGACTATTTAAAATGACTGAAGCAAAGTGCTGTCACAGTAAAACAAGAATCCAGTATTAAGAAATATGAAGTCTTGGCAAACAGCAGAAACAGTACAGATTTACTTTAAAATCCCACCATTCTGACTTCACAGAAATCTACTCCTCTAACTCCTGACAGCCTGTTTCTCTGCTCCCATTCTCCTGCCCACCTATCACAAGTCATCCCCCAGGCAGCTCTGCGCAACCAAGACAGCAAGATCACTGCTTGCCATCCCATGGCTCTGCTGTAGATACCAAAATCATCAGTTCTCTGTGGCTTTAGGTGGCAATCTGGACTCAGCTCATCACTTTGCTATTTGTATTTTGTTCTTACTGCTACATATAACACAGCTACAATATTTTCCAGCACTAATACCCTTCACTAAGCAAACACGTAGCAGGTGCCGACTGGTGATGAGCAAAGAATACAATTAAGAGGCTGTGAGAACCAGGAGTTTATAAGCAGTGGAGCTCCAAGGCATCTGCAACAGTATTTCTATCGACTTTTAGACATTTTCCTACCATGCTTTTTATATTTTCATGGGTGGACAAACACGAGAAGGGAAGACATGTTGCATGTAAAAATTCTTCCCATGTCTTACACTAGTCATAGCCAGTTTTGCAAAAAGACAACTCTCTGGAATACATAATTTTCCAAAGGTCAGTAAAATCTGATGAAAACCCAGAAAGTGATAAACAAAAGTCTTAGCACTAGGTAATGTTTTATAGGTCTGTGGAAGGTTACTTACCTTACACTTTATGCCTTCGAATCAAGTTACTTTAAAAACATATACATAAAATATTCTTTTGACAACTCACTGTAAACTAAAAACATGTATGCCATTTGCTCTTAGCAAATCTCTCACAAATACATGAGATTATTCTACAAAATTAATTTTTATTTCCTAAAAAGTTGTGACAAAAATACTCAAACTGACACATGAAGAGAAAACCCATTGAAATTACCATATTTCTCAACTCCAATCTACACATATTATCTTTTCAATTACATTAAGCAAATTCAGTTACATTTTGAGGAGGAAGGGAGTACTCACATGTTATTTAAATCTCACAACTCATGAGGGAGGCATAAGGTTGGGAACAGGCCTGAGACACAAACATACCAATTGTATTGATTGTAAGTGCTCGATTCACATCACTCATTGTACATTTCTCAGTGTTTCTCTAGCCAACAAGAGATGTTTCATATTTCAAGGTAATACAAACATCTAAAATATGGGAAATTTTCCCTTTGCTGTCACTGTTTCACATGTATGAGGCTTAGCTACACCACACACAAATGTATTAACAGATATTTTTAAGTACGGACCACATACTTTCTTCATATAAAGTCCAAGAGAAACAACATCTATTCTTCCAGTGAAGAAAAGAAGAAACTTTTCTGGTGAAAGCCAGCACTTCTGAAGTACCTTAGGAGATTTTAACATAACTTGGAAGCCAGAAAGGCTATCAGTCTAAGGGGTCAGAAACTTTGTATTGATTGCAAAGCTCTTGATAAGTTGTTCTGGACCAGGAATGCCCTTGATTAGACTGATGACAACTAGGCAACAGAAAACATACCACACTATGAGCAGCTAAAAAGAATCAGATATTCAACATCTCGTCTGCCTCAACTTTAACAGTGGTAACTGCCTGAAAACCACTGCAAAACTGCCCAGAAGTTCTCTGCTAGCTTCTAGGGCAGACATCTCTATGTCCTTTTGTGGAAAGTAGGAACTAGTTTTACTGTGCAATCATACAATCCTCAATCTTATGTCTCATACTTACCAGAGCTAGCCTCAAAGATGGAAGAAAGGCAAATACAACAAAAGAACATTGCCAACAGCAAATAATAAGCTATCCTAGCTGAATCACTTAGAGGCAGTAAAACATCTGTAACAAATTTGTGTACCATACAAAAGACACAATGGAGCTGATTCACCAATTTTCTTTTGCTTTCCAGTCTTGTATAGTATTGCAGCAGGACTTAAAACAAAACCTAAATAAAATATCAACTTCCTTCAAGGTGCTATTTACACTTCTTTTGTGTAACTATACAAAGAAAAGGTATATTCCCAAAGAGTCCTCAAAAAAACAGCAAAATAATAATACAACTCTGATTACTGCAAAATAATATACCAGAAAGACTGAAAGGCATCCAAAAGATACACCAGAGGGAGGGAGGGGAGATATCAACATGCAGTGCAAAATACTGGACACACTTTAGGTAGCAAGTATATTCTGAAGTCTGTATCCAAACTAAAAATGCGACAGCGATCTGATCAGAGATTGCTGAAACATTAAAACAGACACAAAATGCATAATTTAGTAGAAATGTTCTGATGATGGTGACAGGTAACTGTGTCTAATGCATGCTGACAAATATCTTAAGAGGATCATTTATGGATCAGACACCTATCATTTTGGAAAGCTCTTCCAGCTGTGGAGTGTTCAGCAAGAACAAGGCAAGTGAATCTGTTAGACACTGATCACAGTTAGGAGATGCAAAAGGAAAAAGAAAGACTGAAGCAATACAGGAACATCTGGAGACTATCCTGGTCTGAAGTAAAAGCTGGACAAGCTCCAGTAGAGTTTCTAGGTTTGGCTCTTAACAGTAGGGAACAACTATATTACATTAGTTGCATAACTGTTAGCTGAACAGAAAGTAAATCTTGAGACTTGGGAGAAGCAAGAAATCAATTGGGTAAGACTGGGGAAAAATCAGAGACAATTACTACTCCAGACTCAAGATAAAATGCTAATCAGAAACAATACAAAGACAGGATAGAAGAGGTAGAGAATATCTAAACAAGTACTCTAATTTAAGATTAGTAAATTGCTTTAAGAGTTGGAAAGAATGAGTTTGCTATTACAGGGGATTGTCAAACTGCTTAGGCTATATTTCAAAAGGAGTACAAAGTCCTTAAACATGGAATTGTGAAAGCTTTCTTCCTGTCTATGTGGAAACCTGAGAAATTTGAGACTATAAACACATACCAGTGGGTATTGCAGGGTGAAGACACTGCAAAACAGCAAAGAAAGTCTTAAAAACAGCCCACAAAAAGGAGTCCAAGGATATTCCATCACTAATCCCATTTAGGAACTCATGTTCAATAATACTACAGCAAGGAAATGGTTTTGAAGTTCTAGTGGATTATGCAGAAAACCATAAATTAATTTTCTTCTATGTAAACAAGAATGTGGAGTCACTGAAGAAACATTGGCTCAAAAACTACAAGATGGGGGAAAGTGTAAAGAATATGACCAAAGTGAGAGAATTATTCATAATATTTTAATGAACTATATATTGCCATTAACCACCACTCCCTCTCACTGAATCTAAGGTGGACCTGATAGTGCCTAGCAAAGGCATGTGAAGTGACTGTCATGGTTAATTCCAAAACCATTGCTGTCCTGCAAGGCAAGAAAAAATTTACCACCAGTCTTCCCCTGGCACAGAAGATCATAACACTCCCCAAACACTCTTTAGTTTCTTTACCCAAAGCATAAACTTACCTAATCATAAATTTACCCAGTTGTTACATAAGGTCATGCAAAGATGTCAGAGGATCTCATGTATGTTCTATCACGTACAAGCAGCACACAGGACATAACCCTAATAAAATGCAGCTAAAACAGAATGGGAAGCTTATCAAACTGGTGCTTGATTCCACATTTCAGTCTTTCTGGTGTTATTTAACAAAGCGAGAAAAGGAGGATAAAGGCAACAGAATGGACTGGCTTACAAGCTGAACACACTTCTGGTCTTCAAGAATGATATCCAGACTTCAAGCTATATACTTGCTTTCTTAGCTTATGACCAGAAATCCATCAAGCAGTCAAAAAAGTGGTAGAGGGCTTCATCTCTTCACTTGCAGTGTACATTAGAACTGACTACATGAATTGTCACAAAAATCCTTCACCTTGTCAGGATGGTTTTTACACAGTTGCATTCGAGTCACAATTTCAATCATATGCAGATTGCTTAGTGCTTTATTGCTCATATACACATATTGTTTCAATCACACTCCTAGAGAAACTCAGCAAGTGATCACCAAAGTATAAAAAATAAGAAAGAAACTTCAGGGACCAGTAGGCTTCAGGAAAACCTCAGAGCACAGTGGCTAGCCACTTACTGTGAACTCACAGTGGCACTTAGCAGTGACCTTTTGCAAGGTCTTTAGGTCAAGTGTAACAAAGAGAAAAAGCTCTGAACATTTACTTGAGTGCTGTGCAAGGGCTCACTGCTGCAAAGTCTTGCATAGGCAGGCTTATGTGAGTAGATCTTTTCAGTAAGTAGATCTTTTAAGTTCAGTGGGAAGTGCTCACATGCATCAAGATACTTATGTTTAAATCTTTGCAGGAACAGACCTTTAAATATGGGAGAAGGTTATGGTCTGTTTATTTAAATAACACTTTTCTGAATCTGAAGAGTTGTTTTTCTTACCTGAAGTCTAGTATTCATTTCCAAGAAGTAGAAATTCTTACTGGAGTCTACAAGGAATTCTACTGTTCCAGCAGAGGAATACTTTACTGCTTTGGCAAGAGCTACTGCTTGTTCTCCCATTGCTTTTCGAGTTTCAGGGTCTAGAAAAGTGCTGCAATATAGAAACAATTTTTTTTTTAGTTAAAAAATTAAAATCATTCTATCATTTGCTTTTCTGTTTAAACTATGGTCAAAAGAGAACAGCACCATTATTAAAGTTATGAAAACATGTCAAGACTGTCAAATGTAGGTCTTTACACTTATATTGTCCCTAAATGGATACACTGCATGCTTCACAATTACTGCTAGCATACAGGAAATTCAGGATTAATAACCATATTCTCTAAAATATAAAACAACACTCTTTAAACAGTGAGAGCTAAAATAATGCAAATTAAATGAAAAAAGGACATACAAAGCAATGCAATCTTAGAAGACATACTTATTATCCACATTAATTGCAATACATTCTTTTCCACAAATCTTGGACACACTCAAGGGCACCCAAAGAGCAGCTCAGCTACCACCTTGGGAGCCACTGTGAACACTGCCCAAATGCCAAGGTCCCTCATTCTAGGAGAGCATTCCACAACTTCCACCGGGCCAGTGAATCAAAAGATTCTGAAGTCTTTCTGGAAGCAACACATTTTGCTTGTTACTCTCTTCTGTACCATAAATTCAGATTTAGATTAACCCATGCAGATTAGATAGATGGATAGATAGATATGTATTTCTGTGGTATTCCACCAAAGTCTTGAAACCAGTTGCCCCTCAACCTGATACATGGATTTTTCAGTGAAAGAACATGTCGCTATTCATCTTACATAAGCTTGTAATACACTTATTATTTATATTTCTGTTTCGACTCACATTAGGTACATAACTCAGCTGTCATTTTTAAAGTACTTTTGCAAGGGAATAGACAGTCACTTCTACCTTGCCTCTACGTTACTCTGTAAAACAAAACCACCAAGTGTTATACATTTCTTGAGATGGCTTGAACAGTGGGCCCTTATTCTGCAAAGGAGCAATCAGGAGCCCTCACCTATCTAAAGTGGCCTCAAATCCAGTGAAGGTCCATCTGGAGCCCCAGATTGCTCTCAGACAGAAGCCAGTGCTGGGCAGGACTTATCTTCCAGCACTTACTGTGGTGTTTTTCACTGAACCCACAGAAGAGCTAGAGACTTCTGCCACAACAAACCATATTTGACATGACACAAGAAGTGAGCAAATATCTAGGCAAAGTAGGAGACAGTGGAATAATTTTTTTTACTGGAAAAATGCTACTTCACATCTCTGTCCTTCCAGTGCCCACACAGGCAGATTCTGATGGACCATAAGGCAGGCATTTTCAGATTTTAGGAAAAAATTTCTTTCTTGGCAAACAATGAGACCAACATGAAAAGGAAGTCAAGTCTCATTCAAGAAAGCTGTATGAGATCCTACATCAGATGAAAGGGAAGATCAGAAGACACAAAAACTGTGTCATAAGAACAGGCACTGGTAAATGGGAAATAGTTTAATAATATTTCTTATTTTGATATAGTAAGAGGATAATACATTACATGAAATCAACTATAATTCAGTAATTTCTGCAGGGCTTTGATCATGAAAGGTCAATGAGTGGCTTATGAAGAACAAAACATTCTCAGTATCAGCTTCATAGTCTATTTCTAGAATAACCATTATTACTTCTCATATAGATGTAAGAGTTGCTCCCCTTCATTACAGTGGTGTCTTCCCTGTACTTTTTAAATGTAAGTCTGAGATCTCACTGTTTACCTCCTGCTGCAGGCAGAGAATGGAACACAGGTGTCACATTGCTAAACTTGATCTCTGCCATACAGTTAAGCTTTACACTCTGAAATGACTGGATCATCCCTACCAATGGCTTGGTTAATTAACCAATGTTTTCATATTACCCTCTACAGCTTTATCTTTCAAACACATTGTTTCTCCCTTTTTTAACAATGCACTTTTGATAACCAAGAAAACTCTTCTCCAGTCTAATCAGGCATCACTTGAAAACAGCATTTTAAACCTGACTTCAAATCTTTTTCTCACACATACACCTGTTTTTCTTTAGACCAAACAGCTCCTATGGCAGCACAAAAGTTACCACAAAAAATTAAAAAGTATTCACAAAACAAAAGCATCAAAAAGAAAAAATAAATCAGAGATGACACTTTATTCACAAGACCTTCATCAAGTTATTGTAAAGTTAATCAAAGGGAATACAATTGGTTTGTCACTTTGTCTCTACAGCCAGGGAAATGACCCACATGGGCAAGACATTATCTCTCCACTTCTAGTTCATCAGATAAGGTTTCCCAAAATATCCCTATCACCTTCACTCACAGACAAAGTTAAGATTTTGAAAAATACAGTTACACCATCAGTGGAAATTTACTGCTCAGTTTGGACAAAAAAATAAATAAGTGATCAATAACACTTACCCTTCACCTGAAGATTCCACCACACTGCTGTGGTGAACCTCAATTTTCTAAATGTCAAGGTCAGCTTCCTTGCTTCAAGGATATTGCTTGTTAAAAAAAAATTACTTATCTACACAAAACATTACCCTTTGAGATGTTCACTATGTACTACCAGACCATAGGCATAAATAGGCTAAAGGATTGGAGTACACAGTTCTGCCCCACATCTAAATGGTGCCCACCTATGAATCACACATACAGTCACAAACAGAACAGGTTCACATTTCTCTTAACCCAAAATACTTCAAGGATTTCTAGACAATGAGAAGAAATGTAGAGTCTGACACATATATATGCATAACAACTCTAAGGAGAACTTGTAGATAGAGTCTAATTCAATAATGCACCTTTCTGCTAAGTTCCTGCCTATATACATCCATTCAAATGAACAGAGTACCCTTCGTTTCACACAAGTGGTGAGACAAACTTGCAGTGCTTTAAGAAGTTTTAACAGGTTCAGAAATTGTTAGATAGGTTAGATAGGACACGTGTTCAGCAAAGTAAAGTTTTAGAGCACTCCTCTGAGTTACGACTCCAATTATTGAGTAGGATGTCAGTTAATACTCTTGTGCATTTAATTTTGATTAATCCCAAAGGATCCATGGGTTTTCTGATAAACCCATAGGCCTTGTCTTTCCACATGGGAAACAATCTCTTATTAATCACTCCAGCAGACAGGAAAATACAGCCACACCTTTGTATTTTTTCTTGCCAAAGTACAGTGTCTCATGGCAACTGTCTGTGAAAATGAACAGGGAAAAATTTGGGCAGTTGAAGAACAAAAACCTCAACTAAGAAACAACACTAGGACTATTAAATGCCACTTATGTCACTCATCTCTAAGTGTCAGCCTCTGTGAAATGAGAAGACAACATCATATCCAAAAACGTGTGAAAGTAGAAGCAGATAAAATTATGGTACATCACTGGAAGCTTTGTGCACCACTAACTTTGCCAAGCACAAACTAAAAAACTAGAGATGGTTGGATGTATCTTATTGTCTGTGGTTCCCAAAACAGAGGGAACAACAATTCATGTGAAAGTCACCATGTGAAAATGGTACAAGCGAAGTTTTTGTCTCCTGTTTGAATCTGGTGGATTGACCACCATGAACACCAGGGGTCCCTTGAATATTGTAACCTCAGTGTGTGAACTGAATGGGTTTCTCTCCTCAAAAGAGGGGGTTTTGTTTGTTGTTTGTTTGTTTTAACATAAGGCTAAACTTCCCTAGGAGAACTAGAGATACAAACACAAAATGATCCCGTATGGATAAGTTCAGCAGCTGCAGACTTAGCTTTAAGAAAATCATAAGTTACTCTCAAAGCCAAAAGGCCCTCAGTCTCCTGACTTAGACACTTAGGAAAATACCATCATAATAGAGTAAATAAAAAAAGGCATGAGATGAGGCAAATGTTAAAAGCCCTAAATTGTCCAAAAGACAAAAAAACTTTTTAGCCCACAACATCCCTATCTCCCAGGCATCATGAAACAAAATAAAAAGGTTTCACCTATCTCAGAGTTCTTAATAGCAGCTACCATTTAAAACAGGAGAAAAAAGGACAGTCTATTTCCTACACCTAGCCATACCAGAAGAGGTGTGTCCAGGAGTCCTTAAGCTATCAAACTGAAACAGCATTTACAGGAAGGGTTAACTTGAGGTTTTAGGGTCTCTCTGGTGTCTCAGAGAAGTTAGTGCTCTGCTTATCTCCAAGTCTTGTAACCCTTTGAAAATTAATGGATTCTGCAGCCAAGTGCAAGGGGCTACAAGGCAGGTAACGCGTCCAAAGCTGCCAGCAGAAGTCTGGCAGAGTCTAAAACATTCAACAAAAAGGAAGAAAAGTTTTCATGCCAAACTTTGGAAGTCATTAACGTGTGTACATTCTTGGAGGGTCATAGGAGGGGATGAGACAACTTACTGGCAACTCCAACAGAGAAGCCCAAGAAAGTTAAAAGGTTAGCATTTCTGAGGAAAGAAAACACTCTGGCTGGTGAGAGAAAGATGTATCACACCACTTTAATTGACCACTGGCATGGAGAAGGAGCAGGCAGGAATAATAGGAATTGCCTTACACATACTCATGAGGAAGACGATACAACTCATTTAAATGCTTAGGTACACATACATATGCATGTGCATTATATCAGGACCTGAAGTACTCACTTTCCACAACAACACAGTAAGATCTTTAGACATAAGCAGCATAAGGTTCCAAGAAATCCACAAGCACTAGAAGGAAGCGCTTATAAGTGGATTTGTTTCTTCAGATTTAAACTTTGTTCTTTTATTTAAAATATAGGCCAAACAGTGGCAGTCCTGCAATTATGATTCAACATTAACTAATAAGGAACCTCTAAAGAAATGTCGTTTGGATGATGTGCTTTTACTCACATCCCAAACTGTTGCATCACATAGTTCTGTGCTATAAAAAAATATGGCAAACCCATTCCAGCTGCTGAACATATTACACTGGTAATTCCCACAAGCAGTGGTATGACTGTGTCTGCCTTTCTGAAATCAGAATTTCTTGCTGCCCTTTTCATACACTTATTCCCTGATGACTGCTATGCAACAGAAAACACAGCAAGGCCATTTCTTGTATAGCAGCAAGGAATTTCAACTTCACATTAAACCAGTATGATAAAACAATTTTGCACTTTTGAGTTACTAGATACCTACATCTCTAGTTCACTACCATGAATGGTACTAAAAGTGATGCAGAGTATTTTGTACTTCATATTCTAATTCAAATGGAAATATACAGTATTATGTGCCTCCTCAATTACTCTAACAGTCAAATACCTGTATCTGTGGTAAAATTCATACTTATTTCATATTTTACTTGACAAAGTATACACAAAACCATACCACATACAGTAGATTGGTAAGATCCAAATCCATTTTATACATGATCATTTTAAAAATTAACTACACAACACTAGTTTTCTTATAGAAAGACACTATAAAGCAAAATCAAAACACCCTCAAGAACAACATCAAAATTGCAGTACGGTCAATTGACTGTAACAAACATTTATTTTCTTTGTGCTTTTTAATAGAACAAAAATTTCCTGCGTTTGTGCAATAAATAGAACCAGCAGGCTTCCAAAAGTGCTTTCAGTTACTATGAAGCCACATCAAGAATCCAGTATACGCACCTTGGTGCTTCCTCCACAACCTTCTGGTTTCTCCTTTGAATGGAGCATTCTCTTTCATTCAACCACAAGGCATTGCCATGTTTATCTGCCAAAACCTGAAACAATAACACACTGCTATTAACAAACAGATGTAAGCATATGGTCTTTTGGCATAATACTGTTATGCAGTATTTAGGGTTTGGGTTTTTTTCCCAATCTAAATAATAAAGCTTGGGGGGGAAAAGCTCATGTAGGAAATTAATTGTATGTGGAATACTAATTGAACATTCCTTCAAATTTTGAGTAGGACTATTCTAAAGCCTCTATGTAGAGCATGTACATAGCAAAACACCCTCTCACTTCAAAATTTTATTTCTGAATATTAGGGATCTTCTTACAAAAGGCTGAAATAAGATTAAAACTACATTTTCAAGCATTTGAAATTGCACTGCATTACAAAATTACACAAAAGCAAAATATTGCATCAACAAAATAAATCTCAAAGGGTGCCAAATTTTGCTCCTGAATTACACACAAAAGCTTTCAGAAAAAATGTCTAATGGAGCTTTCCTAGTAGGCAAACCACAATGCCCTGTCTTTAATGGAAAAAAAAATCAGAAACTTTGCTATCCTTCATTAAGGAGAACAATATTTGCATCTCCCTCAGTACTTTCAAAGGAAATAAAAGCAGTAGTTTCAAGACATTTTTTAAAAAAATCAATAACTACAGTTCTTGGCTGCAGCTTCAGTTCATGGAAGAGGTAAAAAAAATCAAGTATCTAAATCCAACTATATAAATTACATGCTAGAAAAAAGCCCACAGGTTGAGCATAGCAGAACTCTTAATTGATTCTTCAACTTCAAACTAGAGGGGAAAGTAAGAAAAGGAACTCTGTCCCTTTATGAAATTGATGGTGTGATGCAGCCATTTCCAATAACAAATACTAGATTTGAAGATTCAAGTAGACTTCTTCCCATCTTATGATGATAACTCTACACTTATTCTTAGAACAATTTCTTTTAATACAGACCACACCTGCTCCCTTTCTTCCTTATAAAATTTTTCTTCTAACCCATTTTTTTTCCATCTATCTTCCTGCTCTGATCTGCGGGAACCCATGCCAATATTCATGCTTCATTCTTTAATAGCTCGGTCCTACACTGAAAACCGACAAGACAAAACAAGGAGACAATCTTCCTCAAACCGTGTGAACTCAACCATATCTACTCACATTTGTGACAACGAATCTGTATTATTATTCCTTTTAGCACCACAGAGCAAGTATGGCACAAGGCAAGATGAATTCCTGCATCTATGACACCAATGGTTGCTAAGGCGTGAAAAATCTGGGTAGATGTGACTGAAAACAAGGCAGTGAACTCATGAAGACAACTTATGTGCACTGTGCAGCATCAGATCCAGGGTGCTCTGTGCCCTCTAAGATCAGATGTTTTCCCTTCTCAAAAATTCTGTTGTACTCCCACAAATTTATGGAGCTTTCTAGTGGAAAAAGGAGTCTAGAAGACTGACAATTTTAGGATTTTCTAAACTACAGCACTTGCCAGAGCCCTCTTTCCTGTCCAGAGGGAGGTTCAGCAGCAGCAGTAGCACCAGGATGCTCCAGCCAACTACTAGATTCCCTAGCAAGGGACTCAACACAAAGAACAGCGGGGAAAGGGGAAAGGGGAAAGGGGAAAGGGGAAAGGGGAAAGGGGAAAGGGGAAAGGGGAAAGGGGAAAGGGGAAAGGGGAAAGGGGAAAGGGGAAAGGGGAAAGGGGAAAGGGGAAAGGGGAAAGGGGAAAGGGGAAAGGGGAAAGGGGAAAGGGGAAAGGGGAAAGGGGAAAGGGGAAAGGGGAAAGGGGAAAGGGGAAAGGGGAAAGGGGAAAGGGGAAAGGGGAAAGGGGAAAGGGGAAAGGGGAAAGGGGAAAGGGGAAATAAAATCAGGTGCTTCCTACCTAAGTGCTCACCTATCCAATCCAGATGAGTGGAGCTCTATAAACTCATGGGGCCCTACAAGAAATCGTTGGGAAGGTACAAAGATCTTTGGACTACTTTTTTGTGGGGGTTATTTTAGTATTAAAGCAGTACCTCTAGAGCATAGCATGGTACTTGATGGAAAAATCACTGTCCTGTAAGCAGAATGATTCCTTGTGAGCACTTCTGCTTCACTGTTAGAAAGGCCTACAACTTTCCACAGAATTCTGTCTCATCAAAACAAACAAAAAATATTGGAACATTACAATAAAAACTGGTCATTGTGCTTCTCTCCTCTCTCCTCTCTCTCTGTGTTTTTCAGAAGATGATAATACATTTTTTCAATCCAAGCAGTATTTTTTTTTCCACTTCAGGACTTTTCTCATATCCTACTAAATTTCAGGAACCTGGATCTTAAAAGAAATGTTCTCCTATTATTAGCTAATGGAAAAAAAAGACATGCATGAACATTTACTATGAGAAAATAATTACAAATAGAATAAGCCAGCAACATCCAGCATTTTTTTATTCTGCGTCCACTGTTTCCAGTAAAAGAAACTAGCCATAAAACAATTGTATTTCAGAAGATATTTGCAGCATTCCAAAATCATCATCACTGAGATGTCGTGAGATCCAGTACACATCTCATGAAAAATGCATGTCCCAGCTACAGCTTTGGTTTCTATTATCTAAACATCATAACAGAAAATGTCCCATTTTGTAGGATTAGATGATTAGGACATCAGTATATGCTATGTACATCTACATGCATTTGTAATAATAAAATTAATTAAATATTATGTAGTGGAATCCCTCCTACATGATTCAGCTAAATGCTGTTTCCAGTTGTAGAACTGTTGTCTGGCCAAGTAGTAGACATTCCATGTACTCTTACTTTAAACTTTTTATCAGATACTTCAGGAGAACAAGACTTCAAATCAGTTCAAGCATAAAGTGTATTTGGACTCTATTTTCCTGTTAATTGTTTTAGTCTTTTCTCATGTTTTACAAAGTGATTGTTTTATAGCTAGACACAGGAAACTTCTTATTTAACAATTTTTAGTACCAGTGCTTTGGAGAAATATAAGAAAGCTAAAAAAAGTTCTATTTAAAAGTCACTGCTAAATTAATAAATATTTGGCATCTGGTCTCAAATTGTTTGTATATTCAGCAGTTTGAAAATGAACCAAGGTCAACGTCCTAAAGCTGATTAGAACATGAAGTTAAAATGATATGCTATGATATTGTTAAAAGGTACCATCAAAGTGCTTGTATAAGGAAAACAACATTCACTGTATACCCATTATAAATAAAACTATAAATTATTAATAGCAAAGCCATTTTATTGAACTTATTCATCTGTTCCTAAATACAGCACTACTTAATTTTTTGGGTTAACCCTTTTTTAAACCCAAAGGAATCAAGACAATGTAAATACTGCCCCAAACTCATAGAAGTACGGAGGAACCAATCTCATCCAACTTTTCTCATTGAAGAATCAGTAGGAACCTGCTGAATCTCCCAAGTCTGCAAGGACTGAAAGAGATCTCTAAGGTGTACTGATCCGCATAGACAAAAAAAAAAAAAAATATATATATATATAGCCAAAAATTATTAGCCATAGCAAGAGAATACAGAAAGATGCTCTAGCAATCTGACCTCTTTGAACCCTAAATCAATGCTGAAACTGAGTTCACTATGTACCTTTCAATGACTTTTCAATAGAGAATAAAGTTTCATTTTTACACTGCTTCTTTATTTTGCCATTAGACTGTTTACAGACCATTACTTTATTTCACTCTTCCTTCTTCCCTTCTCCCTTCTACTCCTCTCTGCTGAGACCACACCAGGAGCACAACAGTCAGCTCTGGAGCCCTCAGTACAGGAAAGACATGGGCCTCTTGGGACAGGTCCAGAGTAGAGCCACAAAAATTATCAGAGGGACTGAACACCTCTGCTATAAGGAAGGGCTGAGAGATTTGGAGTCTGGATCAGCCTGGAAAAAAGAAGGCTCAGGGGAGATCTAACTTACAGCTTTTCAGTACTTAGACGAGGCTGGTAAAGATGAAGACAAACATTTTAGCAGGGCCTATAGTGACAGGAAAAGGGGTAATGGCTTTAAACTCCAAAACAATAGATTTAGACTAGATATAAGGGAGAAATCTTTCATTATGGGTGTGGTGAAACAACAGAACAGGTTACCTAGAGAGGTGGCAGATGGCTCATCCCCAGAAGCATTCAAGATCAGGTTGGACAGGGCTCTGGGCAGCCTGATCTAGTTGAAGATGTCCCTGCTCATTGCAGGGGGTTGGACTGGATGGCTTTTCAAGGTCCTTTCCAACCCAAACTAAAATTCAATGATCTGCAAGTTAGCCCCATAGGAAGCGTGAGGCTGCAGGCACACATCTGGCAGAGTGAAAAATGTTTAATATTTCTCTCTTAGAAATCATTCCACACTATCAAGTTTACTGTTGTTGTTTCACTCAGTTATTGAGCTACTTGAGGCTCTCACTATTAAAAAAAACCAACCACCACGTGCCACAACCCAGAAAGGGTTTAGATTTCACACAAAAGTAAATGAAATTTCTGTGTAAAAAATAAAATTTCTGTTGAGGAAATTAATATGCTCCATATAGATTTCTTGTCAGGAAACACCTCAAGGCTATTGACAAACACAATTCAGCTACCTACATAAGATCAAACATTACAAATTTTGAATTCTTAATTTTGTGAACTAGTGCCTAAAAGAAACAACTTTTGTTCTGCATCAGCAGACTTAACTCTAAATCCAATAAATGACAGAAATGGAAATAATGCAGAAGTTAAAGAGAATACACCTGATTTTGAACCAGAAACTGCCCAAAATGGGACACAAATCCTCCTCTTGAGTTGCCAAGTAGAATTAGATACTTCAGAAGAGAATTCCAAAATACTGACAGAACCACCTAGACCTGGCAACAAATTGTTAAGCATCGTTAGGCAGCTCTTGAACTCCTACATCCTCTGCTGCACTCAAGCACTCCAACAGGATCCAGAGTTCAAACCTCCAGCCTTCAGGACAGATGCCGATGACATTTTTTTCTCCCCCAACAAACTGAGCACAGTTCACAGTCTTCCTGCTAAAGAAAGGCTAGGGAATAAAAACAGGAAGGCTGTATTGTACATGATAGCCATGTAGTTTGAGCAATGACCCAAGACACCGGAAAACACAAGACTCTAGGCCTTTTTTAGTGGAGTGTTTGAAACATTTTGAACTTTGATTTATTTATGAGTTCAAATCTCATTAAATAAATACACAATATTACTAGTAGCAATAATAATAGTACAAACCTGGATTTCTATGTGACGAGGGTTATCAATGAACTTTTCTATCAGTAAGCGATCATCACCAAAACTTGAAGCAGCTTCTTGAGATGAAAACCTAAAACCTTCCCTTAAATAATGAAAACAAAAAGAATAATCTGTTTTAAGAAATCCTGAAGCATACAAGAACACTTACTGATTTCAGTAAACAATCAATCTTCACCAATCAACACACATTCAAAAACAAAGAGATATCATTTGCAGTTGATTCTGTAATTAATCCTTTTTTTCGCGCTTTTTTTGGCAAAGTCAAAAAAAATCCCAACCAACCACAAATCGAACCAAAACATTCTCAATGCACAAAAAATTTCAGCGTGTTTAAAAAGCCTGAACATTTACTACAACTAAGTATTTCATTACTGCAAAACTAATAAAGTAATTGAATTTTAAGACCCAGTGATTACCAAGTACTTGCTATACAGAAGTAAAGGCGAAGTTCACCATTACTTCCAGCATGCAGCCCTCCTAACACGCAAGAACAGCAGAAGTTGATTAATTCTGCATTAAAGAACTGCAAATATAATATTACAGACATTGCAAATTCCACCACTGAACACAACATAAAGATGCAATATTTGACCTCACAAAACACGCCAGCTGTATTATTACTTTTTCCCTGCCTTAAAATATAAGTGAGTGTTATACAGAGCATTCTGTATGCTTCCCTCTGTTTCTTCTCTTACACATGTAGTTCAACAAAATAAATATTGCAAGCTACTTTATTTATTAATTTTTTCTTTAATAGCAGAAAGCATACTCCTTCGGTCATAAGCTCTGACAAACAAGTTTATCAACAGCTTTCTCAGAGTGAGACAGAGCATAATGCAGGGACCCAAAGGCTTCACTGAAATTTTCTACAAGCTCTGTAAGTCACACATTAGTGCCATCCATGTTGATACATATGGAAAGCTTGGTCAAGTTTCTGTGTGACTGACTACTCAAACAGCATCCCTGACATCTGTGCCCAGAATATGAGCTACAGTACAACTGAGTTGAAGTTTTCATGCTTTCCATATCTTGGCTGTAGTTAACCCAGACCACAGATTTGCAAAATAGGTAAATTTACAGTAGAGAAATGTGTATATTTAAAAGTATATCTTCACACTTTCTTCAACATTTTGGGATAATACATGTTGTAATTTTGAGAGATTATACCTAATATACAACTTTCCTAAATTCATACTTAACTTCAATACATTTAATTACCTAGTAAAGAGAAAAAAGGGACATCAAAAGTAGTGATTCTGTGCACTACCTGATCTGTCAAAAAAAAAAAAAAACAAGTGCTGTAACAAACAGCCATACATAGTGTTTCTTATTGAAAGTGATTTACAGCTATTTTAACTCCTATATCAAAGGCTCTGTTTTGTAAACATTTTTGTGTCACATAGTTTTATGCATAATTATTCACAATTGACTTTTTCTTTTACTGAAGGAAGTGTGCTAATTAGAAATCTAAACTGCAATACTTGTTAAAAAAAGACAGGTGCCTAATCATCTCATCCATACATCTGCAAATCTTTTTAAATTACATATAATAGGAATGAATATCTCAGATATTCTGACCTTGTTTTATCTTACAAAACTGTGCAGTTGTAATTGGCCAGTGACAAAAATTAATTCCAAATAGATATGAGGAAAAAAAAATTAAAAGAAGAAGCAGAGCAGGCTTTTTAGGAAGGCTGTGTAATCTCAATGCAAGACCCAATCAGGCAGAGCTCTAAGCAATCCATTTAAACTGAGAGCTGATGCTCTTCAGAGGATGAAGCTGGATGAGATGCTGTCTCTAGATCCCTTCAAACATGCACAGTTATAGAGAGGAAAAACAGGATCTCTCTAAGGTTCACCTCTCTCCCTACAGTACATTTACTCACACTGAAGTTTAAGTTGTACAAAAGCATTACTGATGTTGCCACAAGCCTTCCTGTGGTTGTCTCAAGTGGAACAGCCATGCCAACTTTCTGCCTCCAGCTCTGAAATCAGCAGTGCTGCTTTAATTAAAACAATTTTCTTTCGAGGCAGTCAGACACTAACAAAAGACTGTGCTCATTATGTAAAATTTCAGTTTTCAGAATCAGGAAACAGTAAAAGAACATTTTTTTTTCTTGTCAAGGCCAGCATTAGAAGGGCCACCTAGTTAAAAAGTAGATGTTTGATAGCCATTAGTATAGTAGCAGCCCTTTAAAACCCTGAGAAGTTGCCAATAGATACTCAAATGTTGTTGACTTCACACACAGAACCAATATAGATTCCTTCAGCTTAACTCCAAATTAAAAAAAAAAAAAAATCAATAAAATTATCTAGTCACAGCATTTTACACATGTAGATGGCATGAATACGTGAATGTGTGGGGTTTTTTAAAAAATAGGGGTTTAGGAAACACAGTTGTTTACTCATCCAACAGATTCCTTCCCCTTACCTGAGCAGCACATACCTGTGCAGGACAGACCAAAGATGTCAAGCCCATACACTCCTGTTTTTGCACAGTATTCTGAAATGCCAAATGCAATGCTTTGGGAAGATAATAAACCTAATGCATAGGCTTGTAATAGGTAATAATGTTGAGTTTTAAAAAGCATTGTCCTCTTAGACCACACACTTCATATACCCTCTGCTTTAGGAGGTGGAGGATTCCGAATGATTTTGCTAATTATTATTCCACATTTACATCTTCCAGTCCCACTCCTCTTTCCGTTCACAAGACCACAGAACAGAAATTATAAGGAGTTCTTGGAATCTGAGAGCAGATGTTTGATTTTCATTCATTAAATTGGCATAAGCACAAAGAAAGAATTTCAGAAACAGGACAATTTACATTTTCCTATTATTACATGTTAAAAAACAAAATCATCTCTCTAAACATCTGCTGCTGGAAGCTGCCTTGGTAAAAACTTTCAAAACAGATACCCACTAAGCATGCAAGACTTCAGTATCTAGGAAAAGTTACAGAAGGCAAGACAATAGGGGGGAATTACTAACACAAAGCTCCAAATTTTTCAAAGGTAACTCTTAAAAAAATAATTTAGTACAAATTTCTAACTTGGAGGTTATCATGTCTGCAGCTGAAGCTGCTAACGAAACTAATTTCTATCTGCAAATCCACAGAGTTTAAAACATGGGCCAATAGCTCCTGCATGATGACCTCTGACACTCAACTTACAAGCAAGTGCCTTCACATGCAAACACCCATCACAACCTCTGCAAGAAAATTTCAGTCTGTTCTTTGGAAAAGACAGAGTCCTGAATTTAATTCAGCTTTTCAGAGCTGCCAGGCCACCTTTTGGAGCCACGAAGCCTAAAGGTTTAGTTAGATGTCCAATTGCTATGAGCTTACTGGAAGCAAGAAGCCTTCGGTTTCTGCACCAAGAGGGAATGATACAGATGAGGTGCAGATAGTCAGACACATGCCCTGGTCATGCTCTGCTGTACTGCATCATCAACTTCACATTGCCTGTGCCTGGAAAGCACTTTCAGATCAGCTTTGCTGGGGTGCAAGCACAGAGGCTCTTCACATACAAGACCAGAGTTGGCATGATCAAGGACTCAGTTAAAAATAGTTTTAGATACAGAGCACAGCAGAACTTTCTCAGGCTGAAAAAAAAAAAATCTACCAACCTGAACTTAAGGTAAACTGCTTTTCAGAAATCTGCCCTTCATTTTCAATATAATTTCAAGTAGGCATCTATTAGGTGAAGAGAAGGCATGCTAAATCATACTTCTCCAAACCAAGAAATCTAGCTAGGGATTACATAAAAGTGAACATAAGGCTATTTTAATTTCAGATGTGGGTCAGTGGTTTGAACTGTACACAAAATTCAACTCTAGAACCTGACCAAAATTCAGAAAAAAGCAATAAAATTGAGGATTGGGAGGGACTCAGATCTTAAAAAACACAACAGCAGCCCTATCCAGAGAGGGGGTCAACATTGCAGACTTCCACAGTGAAGAGCGTTGTGAACAGCTGTTTCAAAAAACAAATTGTAACATTGACAACACTGTACCAGTATTTCTTTTAGAAATACTAGCTGAAAATTAACAGAAATCTTAGCTATAGCAAGAATAATAATTATCATATTAATAATATATAATATTATATATTATTATATAGATAATATACGATCTAACACAATTGTCATCATTTGGCGTATATAAGGGACATGAAAGATGAAGCAGTAAGTTACCACAGAGAACAATTCTGTAACAGTAGTATTGAAGTTCCTCAGATGAGTCTTTTCCACTTCCAGTGGTTATTTCCACCATCATGCCACACATTAAGTTAAGGCTCCTTATTGTACACAAAGCCAGTTGAAACAAGAAAGGTTTTCAACTAGCCTGAAAATCCAAAAGTATGTTTCAAACAAGAAGAATCTTCACCCAGAGGGTGGCTGGGCACTGGCTGTGGTTTCCATAACCACAGCCTTTCTCCAAAATAAGTTAGCAATCATGACTTTAGATCCACTTTTATTTTAAAACATCCACTTTTATTTTAAAACAGTTACTTTAATCAAGCTCCTTTGCTTCTTTCTGAACTAAACAAGAAATGAACTCCTTCCTTTCAAGTCCAACAGATGAACTGCTGCCTGCACGAGATCAAGGCAGTAATTTTGGATTCTAAAGCAGTAGAAACAAAGTATCTTTTTAAGAAAGAAGGTTATTCTAGATCTTCATTCTAATGCACAAAACATTTTCCTATTTAGATTTGAATACAAATGGACTACACAGAGCATGGTACAAATAAACCCATCATGTTTTCTTTAAATCTAAAATTTAACTGCTAGACATTCATTATTCCTTCATCCAATTTTTAGGTTTTGACAAACAAAAATTTAACAGGGGACAGAAAAACAACAGGGAAGTATTGCAGGTGGCTAAATTAAACTAATGAAAATTTCAGTTGCTCTTTGAGTTTACTCCAGCACATGTGCTGCTCCCTCCGTGCAGAAAGGAAACCTTCAGGTTATTTTGGATCAAATAGGCCTTTCATTACAAGTTTAAAAAATCAGAAAATACATGTTTCTGTAAGATCAGCAGCACGTGGAGTTGAAATCAGGCTCCCTCACTGCCAGAACATCAGCAGAGAATGGATTGTAAAATTCTGAGTCAACAACAAAGCATCATGCAATGTTCAGGATTCAGACAACCAATAAGAGACATGAAAACATCTGTGTTGAAAATGTGTTGTTTCAAAACAGACAAAAGTACAATAGTTTGCTGATACAAATGGTTTAAACACAGAAGTATGCAATTTATTAGAGCACATTCTGGTAACACCGTATGTGTTCCCACGTATGAATGATCAGACTCATCAACTTTAACAGAACTAATGGCATGCATTAATGTTTGTGAATCAGGGCCAATAAATATTCTACCTAACACAGAGAAATTAATAAATCAGCATTCTGAAAGGCATACAGCAAAATGTTATTTACAGTCTAACATTGGACTAACGGCAGTTGTCAAAGTTGTTTTTTTACTCAAATTAATGGATGATGTTTTGTAAGGCAAGGTTTATGCAATAATTAATTAGAAATAGGTACATGCAAACTTCCAAAGTATATGTCTCGCTATGCTAAAGGGAGAAAACTAAATAATATCCACTTTCTCTGTATAACATTTCATATCTGCTCAACTGTCAGCTCACAATGGCTTAATGGGACTTCAGTAACTGCAGCATTCATCAAGGCAAGCTTTTGGACAGCATCTCACCTGGTCTCTTCATCATCCCAAGCGATTCTCATGCCTTTCCCACCACCGCCTGCTGAGGCCTTGATCATGACAGGGTAGCCTAACAGCGGGGAACAATTAGACAGAAGTTCAAACTTTGTTCAGTTGGTCAGAGGAACATGACAACTGACCACATGTCCAATAAAGCCAGCAGACAATAACTTCGTTTATTAAAACACTTTGTTTGCAGGGAGAACAGAGGAGAATTTTTTCTTTTCAAAACTTAGCTGTCAGTGCAGTAATTTCTACAGCCAAGAAAGGCTGTCTTCTCCAATTCATTTATACCAAAAAAAACACTGAATGAATTATTTCCAAATAATGAAGTGATTTATGAATAAGGCATTTGACCTTTTTAAGCTCACATTTCTTTAGGAATATTTTTCTTTCCTTTGTGGCTGCCTAAATAATATTTTTTTTTAATTTATAGCAAAAATTAGTAGACCTTCATAAAATAAGTCTAAAGATTGAGTAAACAAATATGCATCTTTATCAACACTTCTAGTGCAGAACATTTTAAATAACAGCAGCTTGAGAGCTGTGCTGCTTAGATATAATGTAACAGTATCAGAACACAGATTACTTTTGTTTACAATTTAAAAAGTATTCTCCCCAAATGCACATGTAGTAAAAAAAAAAAAACACACAAAACAAGGAGCATAAATCTGTCAGCATTGTACATAGGCAGCAATATCTTACTCATAGAGCAAGATACTGTAATATGGATATAAGGCAGGATCTTCCTTTTCTGAAAACTAGAAAATTACAGTAACAAAGCACACAGTTTAAATGCAGATTTGGTAATGACTGTTTATCTTTTATTTCAAATCATTTCATTCAAAGCAACTTCCAGATACAATTCCATCATACCAGAGAACTTCACCTTTCTCTACACGAACATGCAGAAAACTAAAAATCAAGGATCTGATTAAAATGCTTTTGACATTTCTAGGATAGCAGAAAATTCTTAATGCCTTTGGTCTCCAGAATATTTAATGAAAATCACAACATTAGGCAAATATGAGACCATCTGATATCATCTGCCAAGAAGAGTCCATCAGTCCTTGAGAACTGAAGATATATTGTGTAAAGGGCTTTGATCTGGGGACAGAAAGAGACAACTGAATATGGTTCCTAGAAGTGGTCCAGTCTACTGTCATATGCATTACTGATATTTACAGTTTCTTTCTGGAATATAGATCGACTCTTGCTCTGTTAAGTGACAGCAGTACAATATTCCCACATCCTCCTCACAGTGATCTAACTGAAAGGAGGTTCAGGAGAAGAAAATTAAAACCAGCAAGATCTGGAAAATCTTTGTTTTCTTAAAAAGTCTGAAATGGATACCAAAAAAAAAAAAAAAAAGGCATGACAGAAGCATAAGGAACAGTAGTGTTGATTGGAAGGCAGAAAAGCAGTAACAGTACACAAGAACATTAAATTAACAAAGAAATGGGGGGGGGGGGGGGGGATCAATAAAATAGTTTCCAACTTAACGCATTATTAGACTGTGAAACCCCAGGCTGTAAAGCATTCATGTGGCTGAAAGCTGTAGAGAGGTCATAGTTAAGCATATGTAGAGCACAAACCAAGCTCCTATAGGCATGGATTACCAAAAGGCTATAAATCTCCATGCCTTGGAGTCTAAAGTAGTCTCTTATTACAACATACAAGATTAAGACCAAACAGAGCCATGCAAATAACCTTTCTAGAGTCTCTTAGATTTTCTTGTGAAGTATCTGATACTGCCCATAGAAGGATACAGGAGAAGCCACAGAGTAACAATTACCCTGATCCAGGCCTCTACAATCCCAGAAATTAAGGGGTGAACTCAAAATAATTCTAGATTACATACAGCAACAGCGAAGTTCAACCAATTTTCATGAAATGCAGTATATGCAACACCTAGACAAGAGCATTTTATTGATGCTGTAGATGCATCTCCAGATCCCTGGCAGCTGCCAGGCTCCTACACAAGTCACTGGATATCTTGATATAAAGCTAAAAGCACATCTTGTATAACTTCCATGCAAGAAATGAGATTTTACTGGATAACACTAGTGAATCCCTGGCAATACTATCACCATCTGGAGACCTTGTCCAACCCAAAAGCTGCAAGAGTGAAATTTTAAAACAAGCATTGTTTTATGCCTTATTATGGCAAATGCACTAAGGCAATTTCCATCACTTAATCTATGTTATTCAGTGTTATATGTATTTGAAAAAATCATCATTAATTATGCTACCAATTTCAGTCTAACAATATCAGTCTCTTGAATGGTTTGCTGATTTTAATTTTGTAACCAGAATCTAGTCCCAATTTACTGTTCTTTAGTTTCCAAAGCAAAACAAACAGGCATATCAAAAATGAGCCTTGGTAAGTCTTTGTATGCTTCAAAATGTAATTCATCTACCACAACTCACTTGGTAAATTATCAGAGAGTATACATGGGTTAATTGTATCATTCAGCAAGTGTAGCATCCCTTTGCTTCCACTCCCTCCCACCTTTTATATACAGTGATAATATGTCAGCAAGTCTTGTAAGCAAGGCAGCTAAAGACTCCCAAGAGCCACTATTTAAGTAAAAATGAAATAGATTTTAAAAAAATAAAGTAAGGCCTGTTTTGAAAAAATATATACAGCTTTTCTGGTTGAGGGAAAATTGCAACAGATCTTTATATGTTAGCATGTAAATTAGCCAGTCACCTGAAAATAAGGGTACTGGAGCTTTTGCCCAGATATGAGGTTACACACTGCTCGCTCTTGGGGAGCTCAGCTGAACTCAGCTACAGAGCAGCTCTTTAGCCAATACCAAAGACTGAAAGGAAGGCCTTGTAAAATTTAAGTTTTGCATACATATTGGGTAGAGGATACTGGGATCATAATGCAGTACTCAGCACTCTCCATTTTTGTAGCAATCAAAATTGCTAAAGTATGTTCCCATGGATTGGTTGGATTAGTTGTGGGAAGAGAGGCATGCAAACAATTTCTAACACTTATTTGTAAGTACCCACAACAACAGCAATGAAAAGACTCACAAAGCAGACACATTTTTGAGTAGGTGTTAGGTTTTCAATCCCTCCCTCAAATTAGATGCCACTTTATGTGAAATTAAAATCGCATGTGAGATTAAAACCTACTCTTGTTTTATAGTTTTCCAATCTTGTGACGCCTCTTAAGGATGGAGTTAAAGATCTTAGGGGGCAAGAAAGCAAAAAGCAGTCAGACTTGAAGATCACTGCACCTGCTCTTGCTGCTAAATAGGTATTGCTATAAGTTAGGACTGCTTTGTTTCCAGGACAGTTACTGTTCTGAGAATCTGAATGATAAAAGGAGTAAACAAACTTCTGATGTCCTGCAGCTGTTAGCTCCCACCCTCTGCCACCATGGTTTTTAGATGTAATTTACCCATTTTTATGAAGTTGCAGGTAGTAGACCACAGAACACATTGTGCAATATCAGTTTGAGCAATGTTCCATGTGACAATACAAGATTCTTTTCAATATCCATTATTAAATCCATTAATATCCATTAAATGCTAGCACTAACTAAACCTGTGTCAAATGAAACATGACAAAAAACCATCTTGTTCATCTTTTCATTTTGTTTTAACTGACTGCATTTCATAGCTGCTCAATCCTTTCAAATAGAGTCAAACTTCCTGGAGTTTCATTGATGCTTCAGAATTAAGAAGCCAGCAGTTCTTAATGTACAATCCTACAAACAGACCTAAAAGCAGCATGGGAAAAGGGCCAATGTAATTAAGCATTACAGAAAGGATCAGAAGAGCACAACAGCCCACACCAAGAAAGAGAGAAGAGAGACAGTAGAAAGGAGCCAATACAGCAATTTGTGGCTGAACTTCTTCCAATTTCTGATTTAACCTAGTTTCCCTGTCACATTCTCTACACAATACTGGAAAACATCTTAAATCAGGGGCAAAAAGAAGGTTTCACTCCCACACCTAGAAAATGTGCATCCATAGATAACAGTCACTGAAACAGGTAAAGGCTGCTTTCTCAACTCTGAGGTGCCATGCTTCACTACTACTGGATATTTGGCCAAAACACAGCAGGGAGAAGCAGAAAAAAAACAGAGGCAGCAAGAGAGCATCATACACAGTTCTACTGTTTTGAGCACTGACCCACAGTCACTTTTTTAAGAATTACTTAAGCTTTCTTAGAAGACTGAAACACTGAATTAGTGAAATTAGAAACAATCTGAAAGTATTTCACTGCTTATCAAGTGCTTCATATACAAGGACAAATACATTACATATATATACAAGAGACTATAATTTCATTCTATCTTAGATCCTTTGAAATTAAAATCACTATTTTTAATTCTGGTCAGTGATTACAATGAGACAGAAGCTTAACCAAACTGATCAACTTGTCAAACCATGGGTGGAGAAAAAGCTAGAAGGAATATTTTTCTTTCACTACATGGCACTGTAGTACAAACCTTCCTTGTATCAAAGCAGTTTAAGAATTTTTCATCTAAATAAAGCACCACCCAGCTGTCTGTAATTGACTTTATTATCACAGATTTAAGACTGCCTTGATATAATGACCTCCAAAGTGCTACTGATATCAAAGACAGGAACCAGTCAACAGAACACCAGAAGAACTCAGAAGAAAATTAAAAAAGAATGTATTTTAAAGGGTGTCTAGAAAGCCACTGCATGCCTTCTAACTTACATTCATCAAAACTGTTTAAGAAAATACCTGCAGGAAATCTTTAAAACACAAGAGCAAGAAAGGGTATTGAAGAGAAAGTGAACTGAAATAATGTCACATTGCTACACAGGACTAAACCAAATTTTATCTACCGTTCCCTTCTGAATGTTCCAGTTTGGTTAACAGACTCTTTCTTTTGGTAATGGTCCCATGACAGTGATTAGTTACCACTGGATTTCACAACCAAGACACAAAGCCTGACTACTCACAGAAACGCTGACTTCAATTGTGTCAGCCTAAAAGTCAGACAAGCCTAAAGCGGGTTTCAGGGCAGTTAACCAGTGCAGGGTAAAAGCCCCAACTTCAACTGAAAGCAGAAAGATCGTACACTGCTAAGTTATCTGTAGCAGTGCAACTCCCACTTCCTATCGGGCACATAAAGGCACAGCAATAGCTCTTGACATAGGTGAAAAGCTGTTTATCTACCTATGATAAACCTAAATAGCTTCTCATGGTTGCAATCTCAAAGGGAAAATTAAAGAAAAACCCCAAGAAAAAGCAGATATCTTACTGCATTAGATTCTTCCTCTAGAAAGCATTTTAAAACGTGTAATTTCAAGCATATGGTTTAGCATTTTCACTAATATCAAGCTTTAGTAAATAAAAGCCAAAACTCATTAAACACATATTACACTTAACCTTCATCAAAATTAGTCCCAGACTCATTTGCTGGTTGCTCTTTTCACCATTCTGTACGATACTCAGAAGCTAAATAGTGACTTTATTGCAGTAAGCACAGAAGGCTGGTGCTCTGGATCATATTCAAGCTAGCTGCAGTCCACACAGCGATGAAGAATGAAGATCATAACATCACTGGTGTCAGTCTCCACATACAGAGAAGTGCACCATGCCTAACTTTTGACTATCATGTCCAATTGCAGATATACTTTCAGGTAACTCCTTTAGTGAGGTACTCATTACTGCATATTACATTCATTCCACAAATCATGGCTGCACTTGTCCTGTAAAGTCCAGTTTGAAAAGTCAAATTTGATGATTTAAGAGACAGGGCGTTAATGCCTAGATTCCTCCAGCCCTATGGGCAACAAGGAACTTAAAAACTATTAAAACATTATTTGTTCTATAGGGATTACTTATTACACATTCAATTTAGTCAACCATGTCTGCTGAGAGGCACACAAATCCCACCATAGCTAATTTAAGAACTTACCAATTTCCCTTGCAATTCTGACAGCTTCATCTGCATCCTGTAAAAGCAGGAAATGAGACCCAACGTTAATCCCATCAGCCATTGCACTATGTCCTGAGGGCAGTCATATATTGCACTACTGTCTCCTCCGATTCATTTAATGTTTGATTTTACAACCTCCTGACCCTTTTCAGCCAGAGGAATGTAAAATTAATACCATAAGTGGAATGTAAATTCTACCTCATCATTAGTGCACTGAGAAACTCAAAGCAACGAGGAATCAGCTGACAGGAAACACAACCAGGATCGCAAAATTATTTTCTGCAGTTGTAGGAATTTAATGCTAGAATTTAGACGTTTACAATCAATAATGGACCATAAATCAGATCGTTAAAGTTTGTCCACTACCAGCTTGTTTCTGTCCTCACAGGTATTCCTTGTGTTTTCCTGATTGCTGTCAGTAGGGGGAGTTGATTCTCTATTGTTTGGGAGTAATTCAAGTTCAGGAAAAAAAACCTTGTAGAACTTCTTCAAAGACAAATGGGTTTTGTTTACTCAAGAAAGAACACTTCAGTTTTGGAAGTTCTGCGTTATGAAGACAAAATAAACCTTAAATGCATCATTTTAAACTGTATCTGAAAGGAGAAGATTCCCATAATTGTTTTCATTTAAGAGCTGCATAAGCCAACTTTACAAATTCTTTTGTTGATGCCACCTATTGCTTCAGCTGTCTCATGCTACTGTAGCCTGGCACAGGAAAAAGTCCTGGGAAACTCAGTGAATAAAAACCAGAGTACTTCAATTACTTACATTTCAATAACCAAATCACTTCCCCTGCAGTAGTTATTTCTACTGATAACAGTCTATCTCCCTTATACAAAATTAGAAAGAAAAAGGGTTAAATTACCGTGGTACACGTTAAGCTTGAAAATTCCATCCAAATTTGCTAATATTTATACTATCCCATGACATACATTAAAAAATTTGTATAGAAGGCAGTAATGTCTGGAAACCACCAGCTGCTAAGTGTGTCTGAAACTATGGGGGCTGACTTATGAACATTAAACTGAAACCTGATATTTTTAAAGCTTTCAAGGCAATCCATTTTAAAAGCACCCAGGTCAGAACTTTAAAAAAAATACATAAGAAATGTTCATACCTGGTTCATTTATGTCCGATAATAAAACAAAATCCTCTTTAAAAGTCTTCAGTACCTAGTAACAGCCCCATGAAGAATAAGAGGGCTGGCAGGGGAAGTTGTCAGAAAATTTAATTTCCTTTCATTAGCTAGTCTGCTCCACAAATCGGTGCTTGTTAAGTTCAAAGCAGTCCTGAAAGCAACATCAGTTTTAAGTCTTTTTACTCCAGTCACATCTGTTAATGAGATTTTTCCAAATAACAATTGTTTTTAACTCAAGAGATAAATCTAGCAAAAAAAACTTGCCCCTCACTTCCCCCCCCCCAAAAAAAAACCTCAAGAGTTTACTGTTTTATTACACCTTGCTGCTTTCCATGACCCTGCACCCTCCAAATTTTAGCTTAAAGGGATAAAATGCATGAAAAGGGTCATTTAAGAATGTTAGTGGTTTCCACACATTGAGTTTGAAGGTTCTTTGTTCCTGCCCGTGACAGTTATGCGAGAATACTTCCCCTTAATAGCCTCTCTGTCAGGAAGTGTTAAACCTGCCAAATGCAGACAATTAGAGCCTCTTGAACAAAATGCAGGAAGAGTGATGACTGATGAAGAGCCACGATTATAGCTGAGAAGGAAACTTTTACATTTCTTTTCTCTTGCAAATTCCCCCACATATTTGCAAAATAGAATTAAGGGGGGGAAGCAAACAGGGTAATCTTTTTTCACTTAGTTACCTGCAAACAAGTGGCTAACTGATACACTGTGATCTACAGGAAGACAAGCTGCAAATCATTATAGAGGAACTTTTCACTGCCACTGTATTTTTACACATGCATACAACAACTTTAAGTAACAACTGATTGGTATCAGCAGCACTAATTGTCTTAGTTCTGGCTTGAAAAGATTTTAGTCATCTGCCCAGCACAGTTATTAATTTACACTGTGTCAACATCTGTTTCTTTTATAGTTCTAACATATTAGAACCCAAACGCTAAGACATGAGAAAAAAAAAATCCATGCATGCTCCAATTTTCGCTTTCAAAGAGCATTTCTGAACCAGAAAACAAAAATATGCTGTGATTTAAGGAGAAAAACTAAAAGAAAAAAAAATTGATATCTTGCAATCTCTGGTAAGTCTTTTGATCTTTTTCCATAAGAAGGTATATTGAATATATGCTTAAAACATCATTAATTTCACTTGCTGACTGCATAAATACAGAAACAGTTCGGAAAGTTAGGACAGTTATTTTAGCTTTTTGGTATATAAAACTTATGACAGATACACAATATTTGCACAAGAGTAGCAAAAAAGTGAATGCTATGATACTGCCTAAAACACACGTCCATATGTGCAAAATATACAAAACCACACTGGTACTAAAAACGCTTTAAATTATTTTTAAAAGCAAAAGTCCTCAATGATTTACTACTATTTCTTCCAAAAGCACATTAGCTACACTACCATTTTCCCAAAATAAACTGGAAACTGTAAAGAAATATATAATTTTAGCACCACCTTTTATTGTACAAATAAAAATGTTCAAGTAATGGTAGAAGTTAATAAAAGTCCTAGGAGTTATAAAATTATGTCAAGTGTTTTCACAAATAGGTGATTCCATTAAGTTAAAGAGACATAAAATACTCCTTTTAGCATAAGAATTCCTATCCTCCTATTTTCATGTACATGCCTCTCAACCAGGTACCAGCAGGTGGAGACAGAAAAACAAATCCGTCTTGATGTAGGGGAGTGCCAGGGTAAAGCTGATTAAGTGACTCCTAGAACTGTGAAACATTGTTTTAATGATGAAGAACTGCACCATGGTTTTCATGGCTGAGGGTTTTAGCCTTAGAGAACGTCCAGTTCATATCCAGAATCTTTAACAACCTCTCCAACAGTGATCATTCAATCCCAATGTCAATATCCCAGTACAAAAATTCATCTAAAACAGGCACCCAAAACTTACCTACAGTAAATTCAGAGCCTTGCTGAAGACCTCCAATGTGTTTACTGACATCAGTGAAACTAAGTAGACACAGACATTATTCTTCTGTGTCTACACCCAGCTGTGTTCTACCAGCCATAAAACCAAACTGGCTGTATATGGTGAAACAATACAAAAATCATTCTTTCCTTGCCATTCCTTTCCCAGTTTTTCACCACAGCATGTTCTTATGCTCATTACTCAGCCTCCACTTTCTAGTCTCTTACTCCCCTTTAGTTGTTTACAGTCAATACATCATCTTAGATCTAACTTTAGTATAGCTATTGCTCACATGGGTTAATGCTAATTCTTGGATTAAAACCATTTATGACTACATCTCCCAATCGGGTTTTATAAAACTAATTCTAGTTACACATTTTGAAATTAATTACCTTTGATTGCTTTTGTTGGCTCTCTAGCTAACAGCACAAGACTCCAGTTCCTTTTATGTTCAAACTGGATTTCTCAATTGCCCTAGCCAACTGAGAAACTGAACCAGTGATGAGAAGAAAATTACTCTTTGTCAAACTTCCCTCTCCATTCCACATCTTTCCACTCTCAGTTTCATATTTGCTAGAGCATTTGCCAGTACAAGAACAGTTAGCTGTGTCTGATGCCATGCATCCTCCTCTTCAATCCTTCCAGCTTTAAGTACACTGTTGAAGGGCTTCGTTCTTTTCCATTTCTAATTTAATTACTACTCATTGGGAATTTTTCTGCATGCAATTTCTCCAAGATGTTATTACAAAATCTTAGCAGTGTCTCCTATGTCTAAGTGCTAAGCAACATAAGAGAGGAAAAATATCCTTTATTCATGAAGGACCTAAGTATCTGCAGCACTATTTAACAAGGATAAAGACAACTCTTCTAGTAACAAAGATTTTCAGTGCAGTCTTGAGTTGAACAATGAAGCACTAGAAGTTGTTGCCATGGGTTTACTTTAACTATTCATCCACAAGAACACATGAAACAGATCTGTCTTAATTTCTAGCATTGTCAGAAGCATAAATGCAGTTTTTCTTCAGCTTTATGAAGTCCTTTTTAAGGTTGAAGCCACATCTAACCACCTTAAGCATCAAGCAAACACTTAACTCCTTCTTAAGTCCTTTAATTTTTTTATTTCTCAGGAAAAAGAGCCCTCAAGGATTTTGAAAGCTTCATAACTGTGACTAAAACAGGTCTCCCACAGAATGGCAGAAATCCTGAACAGTCTCTAGTTCCTTGTGTGTTGCTGTTCTGATTAGAGCTGGTATCATCCAGCTTTGCCCTTCCTATCTTAGTCCAAATTTGCAAAATAGCCTATCAAGCTCTAACCAAAGATCAGGCATCCTATATGACCTAATTATTTGGGTATTCATTTGAGCAAAAGACATTGTCACAGGAAGGAAATCAGAGAACAAACACAGGCACATATTTAGATCCATAGCAAGTGTGACACTAACAATTATCAGAAGCTTTATTTCCTATAATTGGTAATCAAAGCACTGGTTAGCTTAAAATTTGCAACTCCACTTTTTGATGGAGACTACAATGCTGGTAATGTCTGTGGACTTTCCTTTTTCTTATTTGGTGGGCACATTGCAAATTTGGGTTTGGGATTTTTGTTTTTAGATATGTACTCTTTTTCATCAACACTCTTCAGATAATCAGAACTCGTGCAGGGCTGAGGTAGGTGAAACTGGTATGACGTGGACACTTTGGGATTAAGAAACCACCACATAGATCCTTTCAATAGCAGAAGACTGGAGTTGTCAACTCAGGCCTACATTCCAGTTCATTTGGTTTTAAAGGTATTGTTGCATATAGCCCATGGCCAACCACAACACTTGAGTTTCCTTTTTGTGTCAGGAACTTCAGATAATTGTCAAAAACAGTGCAACTGAAGGTCTACAAAACAAGTGCATACAAGAAAGCAGCTCAGCTGCACTGGCTATAGGCCTATCTGTTCCTTAACCATTATCCTACTTCATCAGGTTCGGGTTCTTTTATTAGCAGAATAGCAGACCCCTACATAAGTTTTAATTTGATACAATAAGAAAACCAGCATTTTGAGTATTTAATTTTACATTAGAGAATGTTTTGTGGTGTTCAAATGATTAATTCAAAGTTATCTCCTAGCTAGATGCTTTTCTGGAAGTTACTTTGAAGATTCCCAGAAGAATATACAGGTCCTAGAAGAATATACAGGATATCAGAACAAAGAATGTTATGCCCAACAGCTTGGCTGCTGTTAAACCTTACGAGTGCTAAAGGACCACGTACACAAGGGACTGCTAAAACATACAACAAAAACCTGAAATTTGCCAATTTGCCACTCCCAGACTTCAACATGGCCACAAATTCCAGTCCAAAACTCATATGGAGTCCTCCAGAAGGGAAAGAAGTCTGCACTTTTATCTGTTGCAGCATTATCCTGCTACCGGACATTACAAACATCATTTCCATCACAAGTACTGAAAAGTTCTCTTGGGCATTTTGACCTCAGCTATTTTGTGATTTTATCATTCTCTCTCACAAGTCAAGTTCTCCAGGCAGCCTCATTGGACCAGGTAATTTTGTGGAGGCTGAGCCCCTTTGTACTCTATTTACCTTTCACTTTTAGTTGGGTTTTGGGGGCGTAATTTGTCTCTTAACAGAGTTTAAAACCCAGCTTAGCTACTACACTCTTTTCCATGCAACTTAAAGTTTTACTCAAACTTCATTTGAAAGAAAATTTGATTTGACATGTAAAGCATAAAAATTTTCAACCCAGGAGATCAACATTTTCTAACGTACCAAGTTTTAGTTTTACTCAATGAAGGTTTTAAAAGAGAAAAGCTTAACTACATTAACATAGACAATATATTAAGACACAAAGGAAAGCAATGTAAGAATCCAACACAATCAATATAGCAGAAAATAAACAAAAAATGAAGATATACCTTATTTAACCTTAGAAACTATAAAGAAATAACAAGTTCTTTTTTACAAAACCATTGGAAGCCATTCCTTCAAAAATACACAAAGAGCATCAGCTGCAGATTCTGATAAAGAGCCGTCAAATTCCCCCCCATCCCATCCTCATCCTGAATTTTGCAACACATGGAAATATGCACCATCAAAACAGACCACAAAATGGAAACTTCACACAGTTTAACAAACTTCACTTCACTTAGAGCTGTCAAGATCTTGGCCAACAAGAAGACCTGAGAAATGTAAAGATGTGCAAATAAGTCAAACCCACACCTAACATTTTACACATCTACCTGCCTTCATGTTAAATTTAAAGCAAAGTAGTTTTAGAGACTCCACTGAAGAACTCCTAATACATCATTTATTATCAAGGACTTTCTCCTCTTCTCTAAAGCTCTCTTGTTAGTTAAAATCTGTACTTCATTTTTAATTACATTTTACTGAAAAAGAAGAGGAAATTATAATTAGATTCTGCATCAGACCTTCAATAGGTATACTTTGATTTAGACACTGTTCCTACAGTGGGCAGACAGTAATTAAATGATTTCTCACCTTGACTACTCCATCAAAGCCAGGGATCGTGTTGACCTTTGCATTCTTGGCTAACAATTTGCTTTCAATCTTGTCTCCCATAGCTTGAATAGCATGTGTGTCAGGTCCAATGAAGGTGACACCTTCTGATGCCTGCAAAGACAATGAAGACAAAACTTCAAGAGACAAAAATAAAAATCAGCTTTTTCATACACAGATATTACTATTAACTTTTTTCTCTTTTTGAGCTAGTACAAGACTTATAAGGCAGTGATCTCTTTACATAACAACAGAGCAATATATAAATATTTCAGACACTTCATTAAAAATGTGTATGACCTTGTGAAACTATGTATACACACAGATTCAAAGCCCTATAATTAGCATTTGTATAAATCAAAAGCCAGGCCAGAGAAAAATAGCTGCAAGTGGAAGTACTCCAGCCTGGAAGTTAAAAATATCCCTTCAGAAAACAGAGGTTTGTTAATTCACTGTTGAAATAACCAAAAGTGATTTACAAAGATGCACTTGCCAAATGATAAAAGATGCACTTGCCAAATGATAGCACCCCTTAAAATTTTATTTAGTATGCATTCCTAAAATCAAACCTCAATGAAACACCACAATGAAAATGTAGTCTTTAACTCAACAGATAAAAGACCTTGAAAATAAAGCAATAAGTGAAATAAAATTTCCTCATTCTTTCAGGCAACTCTTCTCCAATAATAACGTGGAAAGCAGTTAACATAAAATGTTCTAATACTTCAACATCAATATGTAGGTAAAACATTGAGCTGCATGTTTCTTCCGCCTGTTTCTCTATGCCTACAATAGACTTCAGCGAGGTTATTCAGAGGCATTCTTTCAAACTTCTCCAAGTCAGTACTACATTAAGTTAAAGACAATTCTATCAGAACTGTTCCCTGAAAGTTACTGATGCAATAGCAAGTACACATGTGTTTCAGGTAACTTTATATCTTTTGTACTGGATGAAGAAAGACAAGAAGAAAGAGGGGTAAGGATGAAACAAAAAAATTTTTTTTACAAGTCAAGCCTTGCACAATTTTTCTAAGTTACATTTATTTTCTTCTCCCCAGATGTTTTAAGACATCTGTAAAATGTCTAAAACCAACTTGTTTCTAAGCCAATGGGCAGCTAACTTAATACCACTTCTAGCAAAATAGTAAACAGCCGTTTCTTATATCACAATTCAAGCCTTAGTATTTTGTCTTTCTGACACATACTTAAGCTACACAAACCATATAGTTACAGTCAACGACAAAAAGTCATCTGTTGAAGCTGTGTGTATTTACATGATGGAAGCATATGATCCAATCCCAGAACATAGGAAAAATACAATTAAGCTGAGAAACATCCTCCTATTTGTGATGTTATAAGAGCCCAAGAGATCTCAACATGCTTGGGAGTCACTGTTTGCACTGTCAGCAGCCTCCTAGCAGGACCAGTGTGCCAGCAGCAGCTCTGTGTAGATTATTTCATACCATCCCAGCTAACAGGGAAAGAAAGATCACCCAGAAAAGACAGGTGAGCATTACAGACACACAAGGAAGCTCAGTGCAAGGACACCCAAACCAAATGCAGAGCATCAGTTCTGCTACATCAAAGAACTGTTAGCTTTGACTCACAATGAACCATCTGGGGATTTATCTCTGCCTACCTATTCTCTACTGCATTGGGATTCTTAGCTTAGCAACTCAGGAATTAACAACTTGATTAACAGCTGTCTTAGAAAGTTGGGAAGACTGTAATACAAAGAAGGAAGAGAGAGGAGGACCAAAACAAGGATGCAGATCCATAATTAAGTAGTGCTCAGATCCTTTGGCACTTGAAAAAATCCACTTTTTAAAGGAGAAGTGAAACAAAGCAAGGAGTTGATGCATGAAACCACAGTGACACAAAGTTTGGAGCTGACTGTTTCAAAAACAACCTGAAAACTCATACTTCTTCCTCTCTTAATAAGACGCAGAAATTGGCACCTGCATACACCTAGAGGCAGGGCAGAGTTCTATCATCAGACTGTATCCCAATCACAATAAACCTTGTGGAAAAGGATCACTTACACACTTGACAAGTGGAGATCACACTGTCCCTCTTGTATCACACTTCTAACCTGGACATACCTTGTTTCCACAGTTTCTGCCACAATACTGGTATTTGCATCCTGACCAATACCACTTCAAACTTCACCACGTATTGTTTCCTCTCCTCACTTTCTTCTCAGAGTTTACCATCAAAAACATGAGATCTCCAGAGGTCAAGATATCAGGTTCAAAACTTTTGCTGCCATAACAGACCATCCCAGACTTGTAGCTTGCAGCCTACTTCCATATTCTTACAGTATTTCTCTTCTCTCCTATTTGTTCTGACAGAAAATGAAAAATCTTCATTCGAACTGGAGGTCACAGGGGAGGATAAAAATTACATTGATGGTATCAGCAAGCATGCACCTTTCCAGCCAAGTGCCCACAGGGGACATCAGGCTTGACCTACTGTCTCATCTCACTGATTTGTGGTATGGACTTCCAAAGTGCCCAGTTCACTCCCTGCTCCTGCCCAGATAGCTGGATAAGAAGAGAACAGTACCATTCAGGAAAGATTAATGAACCACCTAAGAAGGAACACTGCAGGCCATTTCAAGAAATTAATCTCTGCATCCAATATATTTGTTACATGAATCCTGTAGAGCTGTAACATTCCACATGGACACAGCCTATAATACTTACTAAAAATTAAGTAACAGATGATGTGCAGCATATTCACATTACTCTAGTGCAAATATCACCTGTTGCAACCTGTATCTTTGGGGTTTTTTTAATGTATACTTTTCATAGGTCAGAATTTACAAACTGCACTTGTCTACATATGCAGCTTTTGGCTTTAATTGCTTCAAAGCTTTGTACCTTACACAGATCAGCTCTTCCATGGTGAACAAGCAGCAGCACAGTACAACCAGCTATTCCCTCATAACATCAGTCACCTGGGGCAGTCACCACAGCCAGTTATTTCCTCATCAACAATCTGAAACTACATAGTTTAATTCAATATGATATCAAAGGACACCTAAAACATATGATTCTGCATTCTGCAACATCCATAAATCAAAAATCATTTAACAAACCTAGGAGGTTCTGCTGGTCTCCAGGCAGTGTGTCTAACCATCTCTTACACTGGAAAGTTGAGCATTCTCTGACACGACTCATAACTAACTTTAGTTAAGCACATTAAAAAAGACTTTGTTTAGTAGTGCCATAAGCTGACAAAGTCTTGCAAGTCTTGCTACAGCAATTTAATACCCCATCACTCAAAGATGCTTGCTCAAGCCCTCTGCCAAAGTTTCTCTGCTCATCATCAGAAAAGTGCCCCAGGTTCTTCATCACCCACACTCACAAAACTTATTAAACAATCCATTCAAAAGTCTACTGCCTACTGCCTGATACTGAAAACACCAAAACCAGACCATATGAAAGAATGCAGTGGCAACATCTTCAGCTCCCACAAAGATTTACCAATTTGTTCACACACAGACTTGTCAGTGTGGCAACAAGTACTAAAACCTCTGCTGTACATATACAAGCTTACACACTGCGTATCAAACAAGTTCTTCCAAAACTTCTGTTACTCCTCCACACACCCAGCAGCATATTTCAGCCTTGAAGACTAATTATCTGGCCACAGAAAACACATCAAAAGTTTCACCATAAACATGCACCATCACTTTGTTTAGAAACATGCCTGTGATATCTGTGTATCACTGCTCTACTTTGCAAAATGAAAGGTACAGGCAAATAATAATGAATATTTTATAGAAGAACAAGTTCATAAAAAATTCATGCAAAAAAGTTAATTTTTAGTTGTTTTAAGTATCAGATATTGAAGAGTTTTCCCTAACAGCACACTATTTTTGAAAGCAGTAACAACAGGTCTAATAGTCATGCCATAAGGACTGCGAGCAGTTTATTCTCCCTTCCTTTTGGTTTGGTGGTTGGCTCTTTTATGCCAGACAAAAGCCTTAGTCTACCCTCAGAGAATGCAGCTAATATAGCAAAAACTAAACATAGTGTCAAAGTACAAAGCAAAGGCAAGATTTGGAAAATCCTTTTGAGAAGTTCCTGATTGAGTTGTGACCATCACAGTCACACAGTCTGTCAAACATCTGACTGCTCTGGGAACAGAGTGGGCCAAACAGACCTATGTTACTGTAAGTCATCATACTCTCAACATCTGGAAAGGACCTGCCCATCTGATAAACTCCTGAGGTAATTAAAGAGACCATCTAGAAGGGGAGTTCCCTTTGCACCTCCTCCTCCTGGAAATTATGAATGTAGATATTCACAATTAGTGTATTATACAGTCAGTAGTGGATTCAGTCTCAGTGACAGCCTAAGCAGAACTAAAGATAGAAAGCATGAAGGAGGGGAAACTGCATAAGCAACTTTTACACACATATACTTGGCAACATATACTCTTCTGTGGGCTTATGAATCTGTGGCAAAGCAGCCAACTCACTGCTAGGCCTCCTGGAGCTGCAGGAAATGATTGAACAGTTCCAACTCAGCCTTAGACAAAACAAATGATACTAAAACTTATCCTCTGTCTTTTACTATGTTAGTTATGGACAATTAAACACAGTTTTTGGTGTCCTCATTTGAGCCAAGATACTTGAATCTGCATGTTAATATCAGCTTAAGAGGAGCAGCTTCAACCAACAAGGAGATATGCCATGTACAAAAACAGTGCTATCAAGAATCTTGTGTTTCCTCTTTCAGGACCATTGGATGAGGGGATTTTTCCACTCACAGCATGCTGATGTGGCAAAGCATACTCCAAGTGCCCAGCTGCTTCCAGGTGCAAGAGCCCCTACAGTTATCTTTCCACACAGAAGCAGTGACAATAATGCAGGCTTTGTTCTTGTTCATTCCCTAGTACCTGAAATGAGTAGTTCGAGGGAAGTATTTCTCATCTCTCAGGAAGAAATGGCTGAAAGGCTAGAGAGATCTCAGGAGCATTTGTAGCTGCTCTGCTTTATTGAAAATAAGCTTTTTATGTGAACACAGAGCTGGTTTTAAACAAGTTCGGGAAACTTTACAGGAGAACCCGAACAATCTATTGCATGCTGCCACTGAATCATAGGT